CGACGCACTTGATCGGCAGCGCGTCGCGGAGGATCGTCTGACGTGGCAGAGGAAAACGACGGGCGGTGACGTGTTTGGTCAGTGCGCGATTGGTCAGATGCGAACAGATTCGCCGACGCGGCGCGGAGGGAGAGGGGCCCCGGGGCGGTCGGAGAGCGTTCGACCGTCGCGCCGTACAGTACCTTCGCGGTGTCCACGACTCGCGCGTACGGCCGGTTCTTGTTGATGCTGAAGTACGTGTCCGGGGTGTGGTTGTACCGCAGCGAGTCGATGCACGCCTGCGCGGCTCGAAGCCTCGCGCGGATGGGGACGGCGAGGGAGAGCGACGGAGGGAGCGGCGCCGGTCGTCTCGGCGGGGCGGAGAATCCGACGCGTCCGACGCGTCCGCCGCCGCCGTCGTCGTCGTCGCCGTCGTCGTCGTCGTCGTCGTCGTCGCCCCCCGCGGTCAGCGCGCCGGGCCTCGCCGCGGCGATGCTCTTCACGAGCGCGGCCGCGCGATCGCACTGCTTCCGCGTCAGCGAGATCCCTCGCTCGACGACGAGGAGACGCATCGCGCGCAGCTCTGCGATCTCGCCGCGCCAGACGCGCGTCTTCCGCCTCGGACGACGACGACGCGAGCGGCGACGACGACGGCGACGCGACGCCGCCGAACGTGCCGTCGCGCGAGACCCCGGCGTTCGGGCCTCTCGTCGGGGACGCGAACCAGGCGGCGCGCTTCGCGGACGCGCGCGCGGTCGCGTCGTCGACCTTCGCGGCGGTCGCGTCGTCGTCGTCGTCGTCGTCGTCGTCGTCGTCGTCAGGGGACGGAGCGGGGGGGATCCGCGTCTCGTCCGTCGACGGCGCGCGCGGCGCCGCCTCGGCGTCGGTCGTCGTCGGCGGCGGCGGGTCCGCGTCCGGCGGCGGCGGCGGGCGGTCGTCGTCGAGCGCGACGGACGACGCCGCGCGCGCGTCCGCGTCCTCCGCCGCCATCGTCGCGCCCGCGCGGGGGGAAGTGGCGCGCTTTATTTGGCAGCGCGCCGTAACGGCCGTTCTCGAAGTCTTCAGCTCCTTTCTCAGCGCCTCCGGCTTCGGCCGTCGGTCAGTTTGTAGAAGTGCGGGTCAGGTTGATCGGCGGGCTCGATGGGGACACTGGTTTGAAAAAATCTCATCGAGCTCGATTTCGTCATCGAAAGAGCTCGGCCGTTGGTCCGGCGTTCTTCTAGTCTAGCGGCACACGACCGACGGCGCGGCGCCTCTCCGCGACGCATACTCACCCCTCCCCGCGCATCGGCGGCGTCCCCGGCGCGCGGAACGACGAGACGTCGCCCCTCCCCGCCGCCTCCGGCCGTTTCTCCCCCATCGCGTCGACGAGCGTCCACGACCCCGACGCCCACCCCTCGTCGTCGTTCGACGAACTGGCCGCCGTCGTCGTCGTCGTCGGCGGCGGCGGCGGCGCGCCGCGCGAGCCGCCCGATCCCGAGACCGACCCCGGCGCGCGCGCCGGCACGTGCGACGCCGCGAACGAGTGCATCAAGCTCGCGCCGACGAGATGCGTCGCGCGCGCGAGCGCCGGAGATCGGATCGCGCCGAGGAGACGCGTCGCCGACGCCGACGCGGCGTCGCCCCACGCGTGTAACCCCCCTCGCGCGTGCGTTTTATTCTCCATGTCCACGTCCACGTCCACGTCTCCTAACTTCTCCCTCTCTCGGCCGTCCGCGCCGCCGCGCGCGCCGTCCCCGTCGCGTCCGCGCGCCCCGCGCCGAGATTTCGCGTCGTCGCGCCCGGAATCGCCTCGCGTCGCCGCCGCCACCTGCGTGTGTGAAGCGATCGGTCAGTCGAACGTCTTACCGGTCAAACGTTGAAAGGGAAGCGCGGGTGAAGAGTGACGACGGGAAAAGTCCTCAAGGAACGGCGTGCACCACGCGAACGGGGTCGTATGGGAAGCAGTCTCACCGCCGCCGTCGCCGCCGCCGCCGCCGTCGCTTCGCCGTCGGCGCGCGTCCGCGCGGCGACGGAGACGACGTACGCGAGCGACGCGAACGGACCCCACTCGTCCGGCACCTCGATCTCGAACCCGCGCGCCATCTCCGAGGCGACGCACGCGGCGGAGCGACGCACGAGCGCGATCCCACGGTGGAGCTCCGCGCGCGCGCGCGCGGCGGCGGCGGCAGCGGCGGCGTCCTCCGGGCTGGCGTAGAACACCGCGTCCTCGACGTCCGTCACCGGCGGCGTCGCCGGCGCGGGGACGTCCATCGACCGGGGAGGCGCCGCGCCCGCGCCCGCGCGGAGGAGGACGCGGCTCGAGAGTTTCTCCGCGACGGCGGCGAGGGATTCGCGCACTCCGCGCGCCGCCGCGCCGACGCCGACGCCGACGCCGACGCCGACGACCGCGCCCCCCCGGGGACGGGGACCCCCCCCGGTCCCGTGCCTCGCGCCGCCGCTCCCGCTCCCTCGCGCGTCCATCCCCACCGGCTTCCCGCCGCCGCCGCCGGCCTCGGCCTCTCGCGCGACCGCCGCCTCTCGCCGCAGATACAGCGGCAGCTTGTCCCGGCGTCCGTCGATCGCGATCGGCTCGTCGTCCCAGAACGACCGCGCCGTCCACACCTCGCTCCTCGACGCGCCGCGCGCCGTCCCGCGGTGTAACGTCGGCGCGCACGCGTACGACGCCGCGAGGTCGACGAACCGAAGCAGCGCGCCGAGGCCGGCGGCGAGCTCGACGTGGTCGCGCAGCGGGCGAGCGTCGCCTGGGTCCGGGACGCGCAGCGCGCTCGCGACGCGAATCGCCGTCGGCGCGGTTTCCGCGGTTGCCGCGGCGGCGGCGGCGTCGCGACGGTTGACGTTCCGTCTTCCCCGTCGTCCGCGCCCGTCCCCCCCGCCGCCGCCCGGCACGTCGCCGACCGCGGCGATCGGTATCACCTCTTTCAGCCGCGCGAAGACCTTCCCGCGCTCGAGCGTCAGTCGCCGGCGCGCGACGACGGCGTTCAACGCGAGGACGCGTCGGACGTCGGGGAGCGCCGCGTCGAGCGCGGCCGCGCGCATCTGATGACATGGACATGGGTGATGTCGTGGACGCTCGTGATTGGTTAGATATAGATGACGTGGAATATCGTGTGGCGGCGGGCGCGATGCGATGTGCGCGCGGATGAAAGAGAGAGCGGCGTCGCGCGCCTTCGCCGTCGCCGCCGCGGCGTCTCGCAACGCCGCCGCTCGACGCGCGTTCGCGCGTCGCAGCGCCTCGACCGTCTCTCGCTCCCTCGCGACGTCCGCCTCGAGGCGTCGCGCCGCGGCGTGGAGCGACGCGACGCGCGCGCGCGCGGCGGTGAGGTCGAGCGCGGACGCCGCGCGAGGCGCGCCGTCGTCGCCGTCGCCGTCGTCGTCGTCCGACGCGGTCGTCGTCGTCGTCGTCGTCGTCGTCGTCGTCGTCATTCGACGCGACAGCTTCTCGCGGAGCGCCGCGTGTCTGCGCGCGAGCGCGTCCGTCGACTCCCACCGCGACGCGAGCGCGGTCGTCACGCACGGCGCGCACACCACGGGTCGGTCCGGAAGCTGCGGGATACGGTCGACGAGCGACGAGGGGGGCGAACGTCGGGGTGGAGTTGAAAGGCGTCAGTTGGAGTTGAAAGGCGTCGAGGGCGGGGATTGAAAGCGGGGGGTGGGCGCAGAGAGACGCCGGGCAAAGTCCTTAAGGATCGGCGTTCACCACGCCAACGCGGTCGTATGGGAACCAGTAACCGCGCGACGGGATGGATGAGGAGGAGGAGGACCAGCCGAAAAGCATTCGTTCGCGTTTCGCGCCAGATTCGAAAAACGAGGCGCGTCGTGGTTCTATCCTCGCCTCGCAACACGGACACGTCGCGTGGCCCTTCATGGACGCGAGCTGGCGCGGCATGCGAACGACGAGATGCCCGCCCCCTCGCGCGCGCCGCCCGTCGCCGCGGCGGGCAGCGCTCGGGCGTCTGGGACGACGCGGCGAGGTCGTCGCGTCGCTCAAAAGAAACGTCGTCCGAGAAAAAAGCTCCGTTCCTGTCCCGTCGCTCGTCCTTTCCGCGCGTCCGCGCCGCGTCCAGTCGTAAGCTGACACGCGCCGCGCTCCCCCGTTTACGACACCGCGCGCGCGCGGAGAGGTCTCGACACAACCCGCCTCGCGTTCCAGCGCGCGCGTCGCGCCCGCGAAGGTCCGGCCGAGATGGGGAAGAAAGCCAAGGGGAAACATCGCCTCGGTGCGTCCGTCGTCCGTCGCGTCGTCGTCGTCGTCCCCTCCTCGCGCCCCGCCGTCGTTCGACGAGAATGAGCACTTTTCATCGATCGATCGTCGCGCCGCCGCCTTTCGGCGAGACGCCTCGCCTCGCCGCTCGCCTCGCGGCCGCGTCCCCCTCCGCGGATCCTCCCTCCGCGACGCCCGGCGTTCTCCCCAACCGCCGCCGACGCCCCACGACGCGCGCGCGCGTCGTCGTCGTCGTCGTCGTCGCCGCGCCGCCGCCGCCCGCGCTGACGCCCGCCTCCGTCCGCGCCGTCGTCGCGATTCCTTCCCTCCCCTCCCTCCTCCCCCGCTCCAGACAAGTTCTACTACCTCGCGAAAGAGCAAGGCTTCAGGTCGCGCGCGGCGTTCAAGCTCGTGCAGCTGAACCGCAAGTATGACTTCTTCAGCGGCGCGCGCGCGTGCATGGACCTGTGCGCCGCCCCCGGAGGCTGGCTCCAGGTTGCCGTGAAGTACATGCCGATGTCTTCCACCATCGTCGGCGTGGATCTGGCGCCCATCAAAGCCATACGCGGATGCACGACGTTCGTGGACGACATCACGACGCAGAGCTGCCGCGCGCAGCTCAAGCGCGTGACGCCCGACGGCGTGAAGTACGACGTCGTCATGCACGACGGCGCGCCGAACGTCGGAGGGAACTTCGCGGCGGAGTCGTACACGCAGGCGGCCTTGACGTTGGATTCGCTGAGGTACGCATTGCATTGCATCCTCCTCGCACTGGTCCCCGTGCGACCGCGTTCGCGTGGTGAACGCCGTTCCTTAAGGACTTTTGCCGTCGCATCTCTCCGCCCACCCACGTTTCTTTCGATCCCGACCCTACGCGACGCGCGCCGCGATGCCCGCCCGCCTTTCGACTCCGTCTGACTCCGCCTTTCAAAATTCATTCGACTCAAACACCCCGACAGACTCGCCACGGAGTTTCTGCGCGAGGGCGGTTGGTTCGTCACGAAAGTGTTTCGAAGCACGGAGTACCACGCGCTCCTGTACAGCATGCAACAGCTGTTCAAGAAAGTCGAGAGCACGAAGCCCGTCGCGTCGAGAGGGACATCCGCGGAGATTTACGTCGTGTGCATCGGATACCTCGCCCCCTCGAAGATCGACCCCCGGCTGCTCGACCACCGGCATCTCTTCGCGGAGTACGACGGTCCGAAGCAATCGATCGACGTGCTGTCGCACTCGAAGCAGAAGCGGAACAGGAGCGGGTACGAGGACGGGGTCACGACGTTGTATAAGGAGTGTCCCGCGGAGACGTTCATACACAGCGAGAAGCCGACGGAGTTGCTTGGGCAGTATCACACGTTTTTGATGGACGCGTCGGTGAGCGCGCGCGGGGTGTTTTTTTTTTTCTTCTCTCGTCGTTTCCCTCTCTCTCTCTCTCTCTCTCTCTCTCTCTCTCTCTCTCTCTCTCTCTCTCTCTCTCTTCCCCTTCCGGCGACGGCCGACGCGCGAGGAAGCCGATGAAGAAGAAAAAATTTCACAGTTTGTCCGAGGGTCGTCTTCGTCGTCGATTCGCTGAAGACGAACATTTTGCCGATACGAGGCTTCCTCCGTAGCCGCCGCCGCCGCCGTCGCCGCCGCCGCCGCCGTCGTCGCCGCCGCCGCCGTCGCCGGAGCCCGCCCGGTTCCTTCGACGTCTTCGCCTCCCCGCCCGCCGCGCCTCGGGCGACGGACGACGCACCGCTCACTCGCTTCAATTTACATCTTCTCCACCGACCGACTGCAGAACAAGAAGGGCGTCGTCCCCCCGAAGGACGGGTTCATGGACCTCGACAACCACCCGGCGACGACGGATGAAATCCGCGCGCTGTGCAAAGACCTCGGCGTCCTCGGACGCGTGGACTTCAAGCTCCTCTTAAAGTGGAGGCTGGCGGTGAGAAAAACGCACCCCGGACTCGACGGCAAGCCCGCCAAAAAGCCAGCCGGCGCGGCGGACTCGGGCGACGAAGACGACGAGGACGACGCCGGCGCCGCCGACGCGGAAGAGGAGGAGGAAGACGAGGACGAGAAGCTCCTGGAGGAGATGGACGAACTCAGGCGCGTTCTCTCATCACACCGGTCCCCATACGACCGCGTCGGCGTGGTGAACGCCGATCCTTGAGGACTTGCTCTCCCGGCGCGCGTTTCTCTCCGCTCGTCCCTCGGTTTCAATCCCGACACACCTCGGCGCCTTTCGACGCCATCTGACGCCTTTGAACTCCACCCCGATATCGTCGCTTCGCGTGGACCCTCGACCCTCATCAGACGCGGCGTCGACCAACGCGCGCGCCGCGAAAAGAAGAAAAAGGCAAAACTCCGGGCGAAAGAACGCACGCGCGCCGCGCTCGGGCTCGTCGGGCAGGACGAGGAAGGCGGCGGGCAGGCGTCCGAGATGGATCTCTTCTCGCTCGCGAGGATCAAGAGCAAGGGGGGTTTAGACGCGGTGCAGAGCGCGGCGGCGCCGGGGATCGACGCCGCGCGAGACAGCGACGACGATTTGCAAGATTTCGAACGCCGCCGCCGCGGCGGCGACGTCGACGGCACCGGGGACTCCTCGGACGACGACGACTCCGACGTGGACACCGCGAACGACGCGCGCGTGGAGGCTGAGCTGGACATGCTCTGGCGCGAGTACAAGGCTCGGCACACGAAGAAGGGGGTCAAGTTTAAGCCGCACAAGAGCAAAGGGCGCGAGAAGCGCACGGAGCTCGGCGCGGGGGAGTTGAACGACGATTCGGACGACGAAGCGTCGCCGTCGGACTCGGACGAGCCCGCGACGACAGCGCGCGAGCGCGCGACCGACGACGCGAACTCGAAGAAGAACCCGCTGTTGATCGGGTTGGGCGCCGGCGCGGGCGCCGAGAAGGGCGCGAAGGGCGCCGGCGCGGATTGGTTCGCGAACGATTTATTCGCGGAAGCCGCCCCGGACGTCGGCAGCGCGCGGCAGAAGAAGGCGGACGCGAAGAAAGCCGCCGCCGCCGCCGCCGCCGCCGCCGCCGCCGCGGAGGAGGATGATAACGCCACCGCGGCGATGGACGAGGACGACGACAGCGACGACGACGACGACGGGTTCGACGACGACGACGAGTACTTTGGCGACGGCGGCGACGACGGCGACGACGAGTCGATGGAGTCGGGGTCCGAGTCCGCGTCCGAGGAGGAGGAGGAGGAGGAGCCGGACGCGAAGCGCGGGAAAACCGGCGTCCCCGGCGCGTTCGGACGGACCGGGATCAAGCCGGCACCCCTCTCGGAGAAGAAGGCGAAGAAGGACGCGAAACCGAAACGAAAACCGACCGTGGGCCCGTCGGACGCGTCGGACGACGACGAAGACTTTGAAGACTTGCGCGCGGCGTCGGCGATCAAGAAGAAGAAGGACGACGCGCGCGAGGCGAAGGCGGCGGCGAAGGCGAAGGCGAAGGAAGCCGCCGCCGCGGCCAAGTCGAAGAATAAGAAGGGGGGCGGAAAGAAGGGCGGAAAGAAGGGCGGCGTCCACGACGACACGTACGACGACGACACGGACAGCAGCGAGGACGACGGCGGGAGAGGGCTCGAGGGCGACGACCCGTTGGGGACGTTGTCGAGCAAGGCGAGGAGAGGGAAAGATAACGCCGGCTTCGTCGAGATGGACGCGGAGTACGAACGCGGGTCGGACAGCGACAGCGGGTCGGACGGGGGGTCGGACGATTCGAAGACGGACGTGGACGATCTGAGCGACGGCGAGAAAGCGGAGCTGATGGCGATGGGGAAGAAGATGATCAACAAGAAGCAGAGGGTGCGTTCTCCTTTCATTTTGTTTTTTTTTGGAGTCCGGGTTCGGGTCCGGGTTCGGGTTCGGGTTCGGGTCCGGGTTCGGGTTCGGGTTCTTCGGGTTCTTCGGGTTCTCGCGCTCTCCCGCTTCGCTTCGCGTCGAATCGCGCCGTCGCGTCCATCGCATCGCGTGCCGATGATTATCGATTCTTTTTTTCTCAAAAAACTAATCGGCATCGTCTGATCGCGAACGTCCTCCGGGATGTTCGACTGACTGAAAACTCGGTTGCTGAGGCACGCGACCGACGGGACGGACGACGCGATCGTTTTTTTTTTCATCCGCCCTCTCCCTCTCCGATCGCCGCGGCCGGGCGGGAAAAAAAGAAACGCTCACCTCCTCGCGCGCGTCTCCTTCTTCCTTTTATCCGTTCTTCGCAGGACCGTATCATCGACGACGCGTACAACAAATACGCGCGCGACAGCGACGAGGACCTCCCGGAGTGGTTCTTAGAGGATGAGCGCAAGTACATGCGTCCCCCGCCGGTGTACGACGAGAAAGACTTGGAGGAGGCCAAGGAGAAGCTCGCGGCGGTGGATAACCGGTCGATAAAAAAAGTCGCGGAGGCGAAGTTTAGGAAGAAGAAGCGCGCGGAGACGAAGATGCAGCAAGCGCGGAAGCGCGCGAGCACGATCATGGAGCAGGACGACGTCCCGGACGTGAGCAAGGCGAGGGAGATTGAGAAAATTTACGCCAAGGCGAGAACCGCGGCGCGGGGGAAACGACGGGAGATTAAGCACGTCGTCGCGCGGAAGGTGCACAAGGGCAACGCCGGCGGACCGTCCGTGGATAAGCGCATGCTGTCGGACCGGCGTGGGATGCTGAAAGCGAAGGGCGGGGTCAAGAAGGGCAAGGGCGGACGCGGCGGCAGAGGCGGGAGGGGAGGCGGCGGAGGGAAAGGCCGCGGCGGCGGCGGCGGCCGCGGGAAGAAAGGATTCAAGTAAGGTTAGCGCGTCGTCCCGTAGTGTACACGTGCGTCCGCGTAGTAGGAATGCGTTTTATCACACGTAGGGTTCCGAACGATGACTGTGCTGCTCGCGGTTATTAGTCCCTCGCTCACCGCGCCGCGCGCATGTGCTCCACGCACGCGGCGTATCCCGGCAGCTTCGCGATCTCGTTCGCGACGACCGGCGCCGTGAGTCCCAAAAACTGCGGCCCGCTCACCGCGGTTCGCTTCCGCGTTTGCGACTTTTCGTTCACCGCGCGTATCACCTGCGCCCACGCCTGCGTCGGGGAGCTCCCGACGAAGAAAACAGACGGGTCGTTCACGTCCGCGACGCGCACGACGCACTTGGACGGCGGCGGACACGGGACACGTGTCGGACACGGGACACGTGTCCGACTCGCGACCGCCGCCGCCGACTCGCCGTCTTTCTCATCCGCCGCCGCCGCGACGACCAAAACTCGGCTCTCGTACGTCGTCTTCACGTCCGGACGCGTCGTGGAGTTATACCGCCGCCGAGACACGAACCCGATCGGCAAGACGTACGCGCTGTGCCCGCTGACGCGACCGCTGAGCGACGGCGCGATCGTGCCGATCGCGAGCACGGTGACGCCGCCGGCGACGGTGAAAGGCGCGGTGACGGGCGGGGACGCCGGCGATGGGACCGCCGACGCGTCGACCGCCCACTTCGAGAGTTTGAACTCTCCGCGAGGGAGGGCGAGTGGCGGCGGCGGTTTCCTTCCGGAACTGTTTTTCGGCGTCGTCTCGGCGGCGGCGGCGGCGGCGGCGGCGGCGGCCCCGGCCTCGGAGTTGTCGTCGCCGTCGTCGTCGCCGCCGTCTTCCTGTTCCTCTTCTTCCTCTTCTTCTTCGCGCGCGTCCGTCGCGTCGTCGTCGTTACAGAAGCTGTCCTCCACGCGCTCCTCCTCCTCCTCGCGGCGGGGTCGCTTCTTACGTCCAGTGGAGACGCCGTTCTTCGGTCGACGTCCGCTCGAGACGGCGTAGAGCGCTCCTTCGGGGAAGAGAAACGCGAGCGGCGTCGCGTCCGGCGTCGTCGTCGTCGTCGTCGTCGTCGTCGTCGCGCGCTTCGTCGCGCGCGGCGGCGCCGGCGGCGGCGGGAAGGTCTCCGCGAACGCGCCGCCCGTCTCGAGCGCGCTCGCGATCGTCGCCGTCGCCCTCGACGCTTTCGCGCGCTTCTTGAGCTCCACGAGTCGGTTGCGCGACGCGTCCGCGGGCGCGAGCGCGGCGAAGAGCGAGGAGAAGTACGAGTGCGTCGGCGTCGGCGTCGGCGTCGGCGGCGTCGCGCGATCGGCGGCGTCGACGGCGGGCGCGGGCGCGAGCGCGATCGGCGTGGACGGCGGCGGGATGGCCGGCGCTGCGGCCGGCGCGAAGAACCGCGGCGGCGAGGACGACGACGCTCTCGAGGCGGAGAGAAAAAAAGCAGCGGGCGCGGGCGCGACGCCGTCGTCGCGCGCGACGACGCGCGCGGGCGGCGTATCGCGGCGCGAGAGCGACGCGGCGGCTCTCCGCGGCGGCGGCGTGGGCGTTCGCGCGTCCATCGCGAGCGGTCTGGTCCGCGGACAACGGCGGCGGCGGCGGCGGCGGCGGCGCCCCGGCGAGTGCGCGAGGGAGGGGGCCTGGGAGGGAGAGAGACGGCTTCCAGCTGGCGCTGGTAGGGAGCAGTCTGGTCTGGTGCAAGTTCACTATTTTTTTGAACCGCGAGGTCAGAAGTCGGGACGGGACCTCCTCTTCGCGCGCGCTCCGTCCCTCGCGAGACGCCTCACGCGGCGGCGGCGGCGGCAAGGGGGGGGGGCGACACGGACGGCGACGCGGACGACGATCCACGCCGAGACCGGAGAGGACGGCGCGCGATCGTTCGATCGACCGATCGTTCCGAGGGGAAAAGTCCTTAAGGATCGGCGTTCACCACGCGAACGCGGTCGTATGGGGACCAGTGTATAGAACGCGCCTTTGTACAACGTCTGGAGCCCACTAGCTAGATTTCAACGACGAGATCTGTCGAGTAGAGATAGGGCTGGTCTTCTCGCTCCCGCGGCGCCATCATGCCGGTCCCGCCGATGAACCGCGTCGTGGGCGCGCCGAAAGGCAACGTGGACGACTACCACGTCATCGAGCTCGTCGGCGAGGGCAGCTTCGGAAAGGTGTACAAGGCGCGGAGAAAGTTCACCGGACAGATCACGGCGATGAAATTCATCGCCAAGCACGGCAAGACGGACAAGGACATCAAGTCTCTGCGCCAAGAGATCGAAATCCTGCGCGGGTTAAAGCACGATAACATCATCGCCATGGTGGACGCGTTCGAGACGAAGAGCGAGTTCTGCGTCGTCACCGAGTTCGCGCAGGGCGAGCTGTTCGAGATCTTAGAGGACGACCAGTGCCTCCCCGAGGAAGAAGTCCGAGCCATCGCGCGGCAGCTCGTGAAAGCGCTGCATTATCTGCATTCCAACAGGATCATCCACCGCGACATGAAGCCGCAGAACATCCTCATCGGCGCGAGGAAGGTGGTCAAGCTGTGCGACTTTGGCTTCGCGCGCGCCATGTCCTCGAACACCATGGTGCTGACGTCCATCAAAGGCACGCCGTTGTACATGGCCCCGGAGCTCGTGCAAGAGCAGCCGTACAACCACACGGTCGACCTGTGGTCGTTAGGGGTGATCCTGTACGAGCTGTTCGTCGGGCAGCCGCCGTTCTACACGAACAGCATATACTCGCTGATACAGAAGATCGTGCGGGATCCGCTGAAGTGGCCGGAGAACATATCTCCGACGTTCAAGAGCTTTCTGAAGGCGCGTTCTCTTATCACACTGGTCCCCATACGACCGCGTCCGCGTGGTGAACGCCGATCCTTAAGGACTTTTGCCACCGTCTCTCTCCGCCCAGGGTCCCTCGCTTTCAATCCCCGCCCTCGACGCCTTTCAACACCGCTTCTGACGCGTTTCAACTCCACCCCGACGTTCGCTCGTATAGGGGTTGCTCAACAAGAAGCCCGCGGAGCGTCTGACGTGGCCCGCGCTGTTGGACCACCCGTTCGTCAGGGACGGTCCCGGGGTCGCGCGCGAGGGGAGGCTCGCGGAGGGCGTCGTCGCCGCGGAGAAAACGAGCCGGGCGACGAAGCCGAGGACGCCGCCGCCGGTCGACGACAAAGCGCGCGACCGCGATGTTAAAGCGCGCGACCGAAATACCGCGCGGCGATCCCCGTCCCCGGCGTCGCCGTCGCGCGGTCCGCTGGAGGGGACCCCGCGGCAGGGCATCGCCGCCGCGGAGGCGCAGGCCGCGAGCGCGGACGGCGCGACCGCGTTGCGCGCCACCCCGGATCTGTTCCTAAAAGTGTTGGACACGGTCAAGCCGCAGACGAAGACCTCGCGGGATTTGCTCACCCCGCGAAGCGGCGGCGTCGGGTCGGGTTCATCGGGTTCGGACGACGGCGGCGGCGCGGGCGGCGCCAACGGCGGCGGCGCAACACAAGCGGACGTCGCCGCGGCGTTGCGGACGGTCCAGGCCGCGGCGAAGGGCCACTCCGCGGGGCCCGGCGATCTCATCGACCGCGGCGCCGCGGGCGTCGTCGTCTTCGCCGCCGCGCGCGCCGCGCTCAACGCGTCCTCGCCGCCGCGGCCGGAGCTCGCGGCGTTGGCGCTCCGAACGCTTCCGTTCACGACGGGGCCGACGATCGGCGCGGGTAATACGTCGAAGCAGTGGGCGGGCGTGGGGCTGGAGCAGTACCTCGACTTTTTGACCCGCGTGCTGTGCGCGTACAAGAGCGACGCGAGAGGACACGTCCCCGCCGCCGCCGCGGGCGCGATCGCCGCCGCGCTCGAGTCCTTCGTCGCGACGGGCGACGGCGGCGGCGCGGCGGCGGCAGCGCGCGTCGCGCGCGACGGCGGGCTCGTCAGGGAGCTCGCGAGGGCGCTCGCGGCGGCGGACGCGGAGAGCGCCGGCGGCGGCTCGGACGTCTCGCCCGTCGCCGGCGAGTGCGCGCGCGCCGTCGCCGCGGTGTTATCCCTGGCGCCGGCGGCGAGCGCGGGGTCTGGGTCTAACTCGGAGGACGCGGACGCGGAGGCGGCGGCGGCGTTCGCGTCGAGAGGCGGCGCCACGCGCGCGCTCTCGCGGGTGATCTCGTCCAAGCGCGGCGGCTCCGCGGCGATCCGCGGCGCGATCGTCGTCCTCGCGCGCGTCGTCGCCGCCAACGCGGACGTCTCCTCCACCGCGCTCGCGTGCGGGAGCATCGCGGCGCTGCGCGACGTCCTCCTCGACGACGCGTGCGGCGTGACGCTCGCCGCCGCGGCGTTGAAAGCGTTGACGCCGCTGGTCGCCGCCGCCGCCGCGGGAGGCTTCGGCGCGGACCCGGCGCCGCCGGCGAAGACGCTCGTCGACGAGAAGCTGGTGATCGCCGCGGCCGCGGCGTTAGACCCCGCGCGGCCGAACGGCGGCAACGGCGTGAGCGGGCGCGAGAGGGAGGACATCGTCGTCGACGCGTCGCGGCTGTTGCGGCTGCCGTTCGAGCACCCGATACCAGTGGCTCCGGGCGCGCCCGCCGCGAATACCGACGCGTCGCTCCAGCGCTACCAGGAGTGCCTCCTGAGCGAGTCCGTGGTCGTGTCGCTCGTGCAGGCCGTGGTCGGGCTGCGCGGCGACGCGCTGATCGCGCCGGTGGGGTTACTCTCGCAGCTCGTCTTGCGGTCGCCGTCGTACGCGCAGCAGTTTTTGGAAGCCGGCGGGTTAGACCCGTCGCTGACGAAGACGCTGTTGGATCCGCGGAACGACGCGAGCGTGCTCGTGGACGCGTTGCTCGCCATCTCGCAGCTCGCGCGGATCAGCGCGCGGCACTACGCCGCGATCGCGCGCGCGGACGTCTTATCGCCCGTCGAGCGCTTACTCTCCCACGCGGACGCGGGCGTGCGCGCGCGAGGGTGCAACCTCCTCGGGAACGTGTGCCGGCACAACGATTACTTTTACGAAAACTTTCGCGCGGTGGGCGCGTTGGACGCGCTCATCGATCGATGCGCGGACCCCGATCGCACGACGCGCAAGTTCGCGTGCTTCGCGATCGGCAACGCGGGGTTCCACAGCGACGCGCTGTACGACAAGCTCGCGGACGCGATCAGCCCGCTGGTGGATTTGTTATCCGACGAGGAAGACAAGACGAGGGCCAACGCGGCGGCGGCGCTGGGCAACCTGGTGCGCAACTCCGCGGCGTTGTGCCGCGACCTGGTCGAGGCCAGGGCGCTCGAGGCGCTCATCGAGCTCGCGTGCAGCCCGCGCGCGATTCGCGAGGCCACGGGGGGCGGCGGCGGGGGGGGCGACGGCGGCGGCGGCGGGGGGGGGGGCGGAGGTGAGACTGCTTCCCATACGACCCCGTTCGCGTGGTGCACGCCGTTCCTTGAGGACTTTTCTCGTCGTCACTCTTCACCCGCGCTTCCCTTTCAACGTTTCACCGGTAAGACGTTCGACTGACCGATCGCTTCACCCACGCAGGGGACGGCCAGTCGCCGCTGAAGATCGCGCTGTTTTCGTTGGGGAACTTGTGCACGCATCGCGAGTGCCGCGAGAGGCTGCTCGCGCTCGGGTTCGATCGGAAGGTGAAAGCGCTCGAGGCGTCCCCGGACGCGAGCGTGCGGAAGTACGTCGCGCGGATACAGGGGAAGATAGAGAAGGCGAACGCCAGCGCGGCGAACGCCGCGAATTGATGAGATTTGTTGATCGATTGAAATCTTTTGAAACCAACCGCCGTCGTACAGTAGTACCTCATCGGCATCGGCATCAGAGACATCACCGCGAACGGTTCGAGAAAGCGACGCCGCCGCGCGCGCGGGGGGGGCGCCTAGTCGACATCTTCGACGCCCCCCGTGTCGCCCCCGCCGAATCCTCCTCCTCCGCCGCCGCCGAATCCTGCTCCTTCGCCCATGCCGCCGAACCCCGTGCCGCCGCCGAATCCTCCTCCTCCGGCGTCGCCGAATCCTGCTCCTCCGCCCATGCCTCCCATGCCTCCCATTCCTCCCATGCCGCCCATCAACCCCCCGAGCTTCTTGACCAAGTCCATGATCTCCGGGTCGTTCTGATACTTCGTGAACGCCGCGGGGTTCGACATGCACTCCTGCAGCGCGGCCATGACCTTCGGCTTCTGCATCGCCGCCATCAGGCTCGGATCCGACATGAGCGTATTCAGGAGCTCCGGTGGGATGTTAGGCATGCCGCCGCCACCCATGCCGGGCATGCCCCCCATGCCGGGCATGCCACCCATGCCGGGCATGCCCCCCATGCCGGGGAACCCGCCCGCGCCCGCGCCCGCGGCGCCCGCGGCGGCGGCGGCGGCGCCGGCGGCGGCTTCGCGTTCTTCCGCCGCCTTTCGAATCCTCTCCTCCTTCTCCGCGCGCGCCTCCGCCTCTCTCTTCTGCTTCTTGGCGCGGATCTGAGGTGCGTTCGAGACGAGAAAAGGTTCATCGGTCATCAGTCGATGAAAGGGACCGACGCGATCGAGCGTTGAAACCGAGCGGCGCGGCGGGCGAAAAACGTTTGTATACAGACAGTACTCGAACGCGCCTTGTCGAACTTCCCCTGCACGAGCTTCTGCGTCGCCGCGGTCTGCTCGTCGTAATCGATCGACTGCCCCCTCGCGAGGTCCAGCTGCGCGCGCGTCCAGTGCCCCAAGTACCGACGCGCGAGCCCTCTGGTCTTGAGCGCTTTGGCGGAGTCCGGGTTCATCTCCAGCGCGGCGTCGCAGTCGCGAACGGCGGAGACGCACTTGCGTTGCTTCACGTACGCGTCCGCGCGCTTCGCGTACACGAGCGGCGACGGCGCTTTCATCAGCACCTCCGTGAACTTCGCGATCGCGGCGTCGAGGTCACCGTTCGCGAGCGCCTCCGCGGCGGCGGCTTTGACGTCCATCAGAGCGTCCGTCTCCGCCTCGGTGAGATCTGGCGCGACGGGCGGGCCCATCGGCTGCGCGGGGTCCGACTCCGGGGCGACCACCTCCGGGTCCGCGTCATCGTCGTCCAGGAGCGCGTCGTCTTCGTCCTTGTCCTCGCGCGCCGCCGCCGCCGCCGACGCCTTCGAGGGCTTCGAGGAGGAGGACGACGCCGCGGGAATCGTCGCGCCCCACTCGATCAGAAAGTCGCGGAAGAAATCTGGGACGCTGTCCGGGGCGTCGCGCATCGCGGAGACCGCCTTGCGAAGGACGGCGATCTGCTCCGGGTCGAGGGAGGAGGAGGAGGACATCGTGGTCGCGACGCGCGCGGAAGCGGGACGACGAACGAACGAGCGCGCGTGTCGTGCGCGCGTTGAACTGAGCGATGTCACCTCGAGATCTCGTCTCTTCGGAAGTCTTCGGAGGGCGTTTGCTGATGAGCAGAAGACGAAGAGGATTCGTTCGAAGGGGTCACGTCTCACTCCTCGCCCCGCGCTTCTCCCGCTCCGAAGCATGGAACCCGCGGACCCCGAACCCGCGCCGCCGATGATGGCCGCGGACGACTTCTTCGCCGCCCCCGGCGCGCCGCCGCCGATCGAACCCGCGGGCGCAGACGACGCCGTCGCCGCGGCGCCCGCGCTCGAGCCGCCCGCGGAGCCCGTCGAATTCACCGCGTCGTTCGACGCCCCGCCCCCGGTCCCCCCCCCGGCGTCGGATTTCGAGGACGCCGCGCCCGCGATCGTCGCGGCGGACGCTCCCGCGCCGCCGCCGCTCGCGATGGACGACGCGACGATGTTCTCCGCGCCGTCCGCGAGCGGCAGCCAGAGCGACATGACCGGCATGGGCGGCGGCGTCCCGAGCGTCGACGGCGTCGCGTCCCTCGGCGGAGGCAGCCTCGGTAGCCATGGCGACGCGCCCGCGGGCTCGGCGATCGACGCGGACGCGTTCGGCGGCGCGGCGTACGACGCCCCGGTCGGCAGCGCGCCGACGATGGAGCAAGAGCAGTTCTCGTCCAACGCGATGGCGGAGTGGCGCGCGGAGCAGGCGCGCCTGATCGCGGAGAAGGACGCCGCGGAGCAACGCGAGCTTCAGGTGATCCGCGAGGAGGCGCAGGCGGAGCGAGAGCTCATGTACTCGCAGCGAGAGAAGCAACTGGACGCGGCGTTTAAGACGAACCGCGAGCGGCAAGAGAGCGTCGTTCAAGACATGGAGTTGAAAGGGTGGGAGGCTGTCGTGAACCTGTCGTCGGACTCGAACTTAGTCCCGGGGAGCACCGCGGACCTCGCCAAGTACAAGGCGCTGTTGACGCGGTTGAAGCACAAAGAGCCCGAGGCGTTCTCGGCCGCCGTCTGATCGATGATGAGAATGATTTGATTTATCGATCGAACGATCGATCGGAGAGTTTTGGACGGGGTCACGCGACGCGCGGTCGAGCGTTTGCGTGTTCGATCGCGGAAGGAAGGAAAGGACGAGAGGTACAGTACATCGCGGAAGGACGCGCGCGAGAGAGAGCGGCGTAGCCCTGCGGTAGTGTCGTTGAAAGCCGACAAACGCGTAACGATATTTTCGCGTCGAAAACTCGTCTACTAGTAGTCTACGTGTACTCGTAGGACTTCTTTCCGTCCATCCATCAGATCAGCAGTCCGTCTGCTGCTCGTACGTCCCGTCGCCGTCGTCTTCATCCCCTTGGAACGCCCTCCGCATCGCCTCCTCCAGCTTCTTCATCGGGTCGTTCGTCGCCCCCTCCGGCGCCTTCGCGGCGCCGAATACCTCGCCTGAGGGTCGTTCCGTTCGAGCGAACGTCGGGGTGAAGTTCAAAGGCGTCAGGTGGAGTTGAAAGGCGTCGAGGGCGGGGATTGAAAGCGTGGGGTGGGCGGAGAGAGACGACGGCAAAAGTCCTTAAGGATCGGCGTTCACCACGCCAACGCGGTCGTATGGGGACCAGTGTGTAGAACGCGCCCAAGACGCCGAGCGCGACGCCTCGCTTTTTCCTCGCCGCGGCGTCCACCGCGTGATCGTGCAACACCTTGTCGCACACGACGCGCAGCGTGCTCTCGATGTCCAGCGCGCTCGTGTTCCACAGCGCCTCGAGGAAGTGCGGCAGCATGTCTTGCGTCTTTTTCGCGCGGATGACGTCGCCCTCCTCCGTCGTCTTCGCCCCCGCCGCTTCCTTCTCCGCGGACTGGTAGCTCTGCGATATCATCGGTCGAGGCGAGGGAAGACGGACGTCAGTCAGTCCCCCCGCGCGGGGATGCGATTGGTGGATACAATACCCACGTGTCAAAACGTGAGGTTCACGACGCGCGAAAGAACGCGAAAGAACGCCCGGCTGGCTTAAGAAACGACGATCAACACGCGAACGGGCGCGTATGGGAAGCAGTCTCTTTTGTTCGTCGGGGACTTACCTTGAAGATCTTCAACCCCGCGCCGACGGCGGCGAATTGCGTCTGCACCCGCCGGCCGTACTGCTCCGCCCTCGCGACGCCCGACCGCACTCCGAGATCCGCCCACGACCCCGCGCCCGCGACCGGATCCGCGAGGTACTCCGCGCTCTGCTTCTCGTACACGAACCCGATCAGATGCAGCATGAGCTCCCCGTACGAAGCCTTGACGAGTTCGCTCGCCATCGCCGTCGTCACCCTTCTAAAATCCTCCTCGCTCTGCCCGCTCACGAACCCTTCCAACACCGCGGCGAGCTTCACCGCGAGCCTCGCGACGCGTCTGTCCTGCAGCAAGTGCAGCTCCTCGCGCTTCAAGTCCGCGCCCGCGGCGGCGACGGTCGCGAGCTGGAGCCGCCCGACGAAGCTCTCCATCTGATCCGAGCCGAAAAGCATCGCGAAAAACGCAGACGGGTCCGCGAAGGCGAAGTCGTCGCCCAGACCGGCTTTGCCCTTTGGGATGGAATGCGTTTAAACGCGCGTCGCGCGGGGCGCGTCGGTCAGTCGATCGGGATCGGGTTCAAATCATCACTCTCGTGACCGAACCGCGCGGGGTGAAAAGAAAATAAAAGAAACGAGGGAGAGGGATCGACGACGTTCGACGCCGCGCGAGCGAAGTCAGTCGCGATTAAAATCTGGAGACGAGTCTCACCTTTTCGTCGTATTTTTTCCGCGTGGCGTCGTCGGATAAGACCTGGTACGCCTCGCCGATCTTCTGGAACCGCTCATGCGCGCTCGGGTCGTCCTGGCACTTGTCCGGGTGCCATTTCCGCGCGGCGACGTAGTACGCGCGCTTGATCTCGGAAGCGCTCGCGGTCGGGGCCACCTCGAGCACGTCGTAGAATTCAGTCTCCGAGACGCCGCCGCCCGTCGCGCCGCCGCCGCCGCCGCCGCCGCCGCCGCTCGTGGCCCGCTCCTCCGCCTCCCTCGCCCGCGCGCGCTCGCGCGCTTTCTCCAATATCGTCTCGTCGTCGATCTCCGCGAGCTTCAGCGCTTCCTTCACGAGATCTTCCGTGACCCACTCCCTCGTCCGGCGGTTCCAACGCTTCCCCGCGTTGGCCTCCGCGATGGCTTCCGGGGTGTTGGCGATGCCGCGAACGATCTGAGGGTAATTGTCCATACGAGCGAACGTCGGGGTGGAGTTGAAAGGCGTCAGAAGCGGAGTTGAAAGGCGTCGAGGTGTGTCGGGATTGAAACCGAGGGACCCTGGGCGGAGAGAATCGACGGCGAAAGTCCTTAAGAAACGGCGTTCACCACGCCGACGCGGTCGTATGGGGACCAGTGTGATGAGAACGCGCCTGCGTCGCGCCGACGCCCACGCCGACGACGGGGAGCACGACCGCGCTCACCAGGCCAGCGCCCAACCCTTTGAAGAACCCGGTCGCGCCCTCGGCTTTCGCGCCGATCGCGGGCGCGGCGATGAGCGCCGCCGCGCCCGCGAGGACGCCCTTCCCCGCGGACTGCAGGCCGCTGCTCAGGCCCGACATCGCGTTCTGCGGGCGTCGAAGGCTGAACACGTCGTTGAAGTCCAACTGCGGGCGGACGCGCGTTGGGGTGGGGGGAGAGGGGAGAGGGGAGAGGGGAGGAGATGAGAGGGAGGGGACGGACGCGTCGGCGCGGCGTCGGCGAGGGAAGGGAGGACGACGGACGGGACGACGGACGAAGCGTTCGGAGTTCGGGAGAAGACTCGGGAGAAGCCGCGGCTCGGCCGCTTCGCTCGCTTCGCGGAAGGGCGAGATCTGCGCGACGGAAGGGCCGACGCGCGCACCTCTTCGCCGGCGCCCGTCGCGCCGGTCCTCGAGAGTCCTCCGCCGGTGTACCCGGTCAGGGCTTTCGCCGCGTCCGCCATCATGCGGTCGTTCGCGTCGCCGCCGGTCGCCATCGTGACGGACGGGGCAGGGGGGGCGCGCGCTCGATTTGTGGCGACGCGACGACGCGCTGTCGCGTCGTCTTCGCGCGAAGTTTTCGTTTTCCCGCCACTGCACCGCCCACCGCGTCCTCCTCCGCCGCGCGCTTCGAGCCGCGCGCCGGCGCGATGACGACCGCGCGATGCGCGGCGTCGGCGCCGCCGTCGCCGTCGCCGCGACTCGCCGCGCGGAGGAGCGCCTCCGGAGCGTTCGCGTCGTCGTCGTCGTCGTCGTCGTCTCGACGCCGCGCGAAGGCTGCCGCGGACGACGACGACGCCGCCCGCGACGCGCGCGACGACGACGACGACGACGACGACGACGCGTCGCGCCGCTCGAACGCCACCACCCGCCGCGCGTTCCTCTCCGCGGCGTCGTTCGCGCCGCTCCTCGCGAACGCCGCGTCGTCGTCCGTCGCCGTCGCCGCGCTTTCGGCGACGTCGTCGCCGTCCTACGCACGATCGGAGACGTCCGCGATCGCGGCCTCGTCGCTCCCCGAGCAGCTCGCGGACGCGCTCGCGCCGTCCTCCGGCGCGAAAGGCCTCTCTCCCCTCCGCGCGTCCTCCGCGTCGTCCATCCGGATCCCGATGACGCTCGAGGGCGGGACGTACGTCGTGCGATACGCCATCGGCGACGCGAGCGTGCGCGGCGTCCTCGACACGGGATCACCGTTCGTCACCATGGACGGGCGGTGCGGGAAGTACTGGGGGTGTCTGCGAGAGTCCGACGCGCGGCCGTCCGGGTACGGCGAGACGTACGAGATCTACGGGCTGCAGGAGGACGGCGTCACGAAGTGGGTGTTGGGCGACGTGCGGTTCGAGGGGACGGAGGCGGGGGACGGAGGCGGCGGCGGCGGCGGCGACGCCGCGGCGGCGATGGTGCCCGTGAGTCAGGTGCGTTCTATACACTGGTCCCCATACGACCGCGTCGGCGTGGTGGACGCCGATCCTTAAGGACTTTTGCCGTGGTTTCTCTCCGCCCACCCCTCGCTTTCAATCCCCGCCCTCGAAGCCTTTCAACTCCACCTGACGCCTTTCAACTCCACCCCGACATTCGCTTGTATAGAACGGCCCTCAACCCGGACTCATCAAAAACGATGACGACGCCGCCGCCACGAAGTTCGTCTTCTCCGAGGTTCTCCTCGGCGTCACGAGCGAGGTGTCCTCCAGGCAGGGCGGCAGCTCCGTCGGGACGGCGCCGTTCGTGGGTCTCGTGAAAGAGCGCCAGGACTGGATCCGCCCGACGTTCCTCGGGCAAACCGACGTCACTTCGTTCGCGTTGGATTTCAACTCGGGCGCGTTCTCCTCACACTGGTCCCCATACGACCGCGGTCGCGTTGTGAACGCCGATCCTTGAGGACTTTCTCTCCCGGCGCATCTCTCCGCCCAGGGTCCCTCGGTTTCGATCCCCGCCGCGACGCCTATCGACTCCACCTGACGCCTTTGATTTCCACCCCGATATCGTCGCTTCGTACGGACCCTCGACCCTCAGACCAGCTCACGCTCTCGCGTCGCGCGCTCATCCCGGACGACGCGCCGGGGGTCATGGAAATGGTCGACCTGCGGCCGTTGGGGTCGCCGGTGTTTCACTACGCGGTGCGAGTCGAGGAGTTGTGGATCAACGGAGGAAAGCATCGATCGAAATCGAACAAGCCCATCTACGTCGTGTTCGACAGCGGGACGACCGGGATGCTCGTCGACCGCGACTTGTTCGACACCTCGGACCTCGCGTTGGGGTGTTTCGAGTGCCACATGAAGCTCCGCGACCGCGACGGCGCGCGCGTCACGATCGGAAGCAGCCTGCGAACGTGCGTGGGGCGGTGCCTGTTTCTTCCGACGCCGATCGACGTCCCGTGGGAGGTGCGTTCTGTACACTGGTCCCCATACGACCGCGTTCGCGTGGTGAACGCCGATCCTTAAGGACTTTTGCCGTCGTCTCTCTCCGCCCACCCCTCGCTTTCAATCCCCGCCCTCGACGCCTTTCAACTCCAACTGACGCCTATCAACTCCACCCCGACGTCTTTCTTCACCGTGGGAGGGCGTGCCGCGCGACGCGCACGTCGTCTTCGCCGGGCTCGCGTTCATGTTCAACCAAGGGACGCTGACCGTGGACGCGGACGCGCGAAGGTTGCGGTTAGGGAACGCCCCGGGGCCGGTGGACGTGTGATCGATCGATCGACGCGTCGATACGTTTAGTGTACAGTACGTGTACACGTAGGGACGAGGGTTCGTCTGTCTGTCCTGCTCCTGATCGTCGGGAGAGAGAGAGTCGACGCGATACACTATGATAGACGCGAGGAGGTGAGTCGTTACAGTACGCGTTTCCGTAGAAGATTAAGGTTAAAACCAAAAACCAAACCAAAGACCGCGGCGACTCTTCGTCGCGCACGGCATCACTTCAGTTCGTGACCATGCCGCCCTCGCGCAAGACGTCGATCATGTCGTACACGGTCTTCTCTCCCGCCCCCGCCTCAACGCGGTCTGAGGGTCGTTCCATACGAGCGAACGTCGGGGTGGAGTTGAAAGGCGTCAGGTGGAGTTGAAAGGCGTCTAGGTGTGTCGGGATTGAAAGCGAGGGGTGGGCGGAGAGAAACGCCGGGCAAAGTCCTTAAGAAACGGCGTTCACCACGCCAACGCGGTCGTATGGGGACCAGTGTGAGGAGAACGCACCCCGTAAAAACAAAGCCGCGTCTACGGTGCCCTCCGCGTAAATGCTTCTCCCGCACACGTTGTGCTGGAACTCGAACGCGACGGTGCCGTCCGCGGAGACCAGCTTGTACGTGTGGAACGCGTGCCCGAGGAGGTGCTCTTCCGGCACGCCCATCCCCTGCGGCACCGGCGCGAGCTGCGTCGGGACGTCGCGGACGAGCGTCGCGTCGGCGATGTCGAACCCGCACCCGAGTGCGTTGAACGACTCCACGATCGCCTTGGCCGTGCCGCTCGTGTCCACTTTCGAGCTCTGGTGCGACTCCGTCACGGAGAGCGTGTACCCGCTGAACGCGCCGGGGAAGTTGTCCGCCATGGTCTTCATCGCAGCCTGGAACGCGACGACTTGCTTTCCCATCTGCGGGTCGTTCCGTACGAGCGAACGTCGGGGTGTAGTTGAAAGGCGTCAGAAGCGGAGTTGAAAGGCGTCGAGGGCGAGGATTGAAAGCGATGGGTGATGGGCGGAGAGACACGCCGGGAAGTAAAGTCCTTAAGGATCGGCGTTCACCACGCCAACGCGGTCGTATGGGGACCAGTGTGAGGAGAACGCGCCTGCGGCGCGATGACGGCGAAATGTTTCGCATCTTTCGCGTCCGCCAGAAGCTTCTCGCGGTCGCCGCCGGTGGTCCCCATGACGAACGGCACGCCGTGCTTCACGTAGAACGCCGCGTTCGCGTTCACCGCCGCGGGGAGGGTGTAATCGACCGCGATCAACCCGGGGTATTTCGCTTTCAGCGCCTCCATCTTGTCCCCCGCGTCGTCGTTTAAGATGTTTTCTATCACCACCTCCACGCCCCCGATCTCCACGGGCTCCTTGTCCAGCCCGCTGAACGCGACCGGGACGAGGAAGCATCGGTCCGCGCCGCGCTTTACGACCGCGTCCGCGACGGCTCGTCCCATCTTCCCGGTGAGGTCGTTCACCATGATCGGGACCGGGGCCGCCTCTGCGGACGCCGCCATCGCGACGATCGATCCGCCTCTCTTCTCGACGACGACGCGGCGCGGAGATGTTTTGCGGGATCGGATCCGAGCGCGGGGGTCGACGAGCGCCAAAGAGCGCGGCGCGGACGGCGACGCGCGAAGCGCGCGGACGGAGCGCGCGGGAGGAGCGGGACCCACCAGCGCGGCGGGGGATGACATCGTCGACGTCGCCGGTATCGCGCGCGGCGGCCGAGTGACCGCCGGGCGCGGCGGCGACCGTGGACGGAGAGGTCGCGTCGGGGCGCTAAAAGCGCGCCGCGCCGCGCGCGATCTCCCGCCCGCGACTGAGGTGCGTTCTATACAAAAGTTTTTCACCCAACGCTCGGTTTCAAAAATTTGATCGCGTCCCCTTTCAACTGACCGGTGAACTTTTTTTGTATGGAATCTCGCGGCGGCGGCGGCCGATCTTCCAATATTCCGTCGATCTCGCGCTCGCGCGCTCACACGCGCGCGCCCGTCACGCCGGCGATCGACCACGCGCACGCACGCACGAGAGAGAACAGAACGCACACACAGCGGCCGTCATAGTCATCATGGGCGGCGGTCTCATCAGGAAAGCGCTGGAGAACGGGTCGAACGGGTCGCTCGACGCGAAGCACGAGAAATCACCAAAGAAGGGGAGACTCGGCTCGTTCGTCGACCTGTCGCGAGGCTCGCGCGACTCCGCGACGCGCTCGCACGTCCTCGACAACGGTGCGTCCGTCCGTCGTCGCCCCCGTCGTCAAAACGTCGTCGCGCGATGCCATCCGTCCGTCGGCGCCGCGGCGCCGCTCGAGACGGACGGCGCGCTCGCGCGCCGCCGCCGCAAATCAATCTTCTTCCCACGTCCGTCGCTTCGACGCGCGCGGGAAACGGTCCCTCCAATCGTCGTTTTTCGTCGCTCGCGCGCGCCCGCTCGACTCCTCCGCGCGCCGCGTCCGCGTCCTGACCCCCGCCCTCTCCCCATGGAACCCCGCAAAACAGGCGCGAACGGGAAGTACGGCAGCGTCAGCGGCCAGGGCCAGGCGAAGAACAAGACGAACGTGGTATGCACGCTCGGTCCGGTCAGCCGCGACGTCCCCACGCTCGAGAAGATGCTCAAGGCGGGGATGCGCGTCGCGCGATTCAACTTTTCTCACGGGACGCACGAGTACCACCAGGAGACGCTGGATAACCTCAAGATCGCGTGTAAAAACACGGACCTCGAGTGCGGCGTCCTCCTCGACACGAAAGGGCCGGAGATCCGAACGGGGATGCTCGACCACGGCGAGCCGGTGATGCTCGAGAAGGACTCGGAGATCACGCTCACGACGGATTACAACGCGAGCGGGAACAAGAATCTGATCGCGGTGTCGTACGCGTCGCTCGCGAAGGACGTGGTGCCCGGGTCGAAGATTCTCTGCGCGGACGGCAGCATCACGTTCACGGTGCTCTCGTGCGATGTCGAGAAGGGGACGGTGCAGGTGAAGTGCGAGAACAGCGCGAAGCTCGGGGAGAGGAAGAACATGAACCTCCCGGGCGTGAACGTGGACTTGCCGACGATCACGGAGAAGGACAGGAACGATCTCATCAACTGGGGCGTGAAGAACAAGGTCGACTTCGTCGCCGCGAGTTTCGTCAGAAAGGGCAGCGACATCGCGCATATCCGTCAAGTCCTCGGCGAAGCCTCGAAGACGATCTCGATCATCAGCAAGGTGGAGAACATGGAGGGTCTGGACAACTACGACGACATCGTCGCGGAATCAGACGGCGTCATGGTCGCGCGCGGCGATCTCGGGATGGAGATCCACCTCGAACAAATCTTCCTCGCGCAGAAGCGCATGATCAAGCGGTGCAACGAAGCGGGGAAACCGGTCGTCACCGCGACGCAGATGCTCGAGTCCATGACCGGCGCGCCGAGGCCGACGCGCGCGGAGGCGACGGACGTCGCCAATGCCGTCCTCGACGGCACCGACTGCGTCATGCTCTCCGGGGAAACCGCCGCGGGGCAGTACCCCGTCGAGGCGATCACGATCATGGCGGACATTTGTCGCGAAGCGGAGGCGTACGTGGACAACTACTCCGTGTTCAAGCACGTCATGGACCTCCAGAAGATTCCGATGGAGACGCTCGAGTCGCTGGCGTCGTCGGCGGTGCGTTCGGCGCACAAGGTGGGCGCGCAACTCATCGTGTGCCTCGGGAAGACTGGGAAAACCGCGCAGCTCATCGCGAAGTACCGCCCGAGCGCGCAGATCATGTCCGTCGTCGTGGAAGACCCGGACGACGCGGAGCACGACCCGCACTCGGTCGTCCGGCGGCTGCTACTCGTGCGCGGGATCCGGCCCATCGCGGCGCCGGTGTCGTGGCGCGCGTCCGAGTCGGAGCTCAACTCGGACAAAGACGCGGGGTTGAAGCACAAGGGGGAAATGTCCGTGCTCGAGACGAAGAACATCCTGCAGAACGCGATCGCGCAGGCGAAGAAGTTGGGGATGGTCGAGACCGGCTACATGGTCGTCGGCGTGCACCGCATTCTCGGGGACTCGATAATGAAGATGTTGCAAGTGCAGTGAACGCGGCGAGGGAGGTCGAGCGCAGAGACGCGAAGGGAGGGAGGAATATACATAACGAACACCCTTATTATTCATTAATTCATTATTACTGCACGCGCACACGCGCGCGCGCGCGTCGGGTCGAGTTGGAGTTGGATCGGTCACGTGTTTACGACCAGATACCGTTACAACGTACGAAAGTAGTAGTCTATGTACAAGACGAGACGCGAGACGCGTAGACGCGTCGTCAAAACCTCATCTTCGGCTGGTCGATCGTCTCGTCCGCGTACGGCGACTTCCCCGAGCGCATCAACCACTTCTGATCCCCGCCCGGCCCGTCCCTGAGCTGCTCCAGCGGCGTGCGGTCGATCAACCCGCGCGCGGCGCCGTGCACGGGGATCCACTTGGGCTTCATGTCGTCCAGCATCTTCAATTCAATTCGTTCAAAGGGAGGCGGGGGGCGTTCAAAGGGACGCGCGCGTCGGTCAGCGAAACGTCTCGCCGGTCGAACGCCCGTTGAAAGGAAGGAACGCGCGGGCGAAGAGAAACGATGAGACGGGCGGGCAAAGTCCTTAAGGAATGGCGTTCACCACGCGAACGCGGTCGTATGGGAACCAGTCTCACCTTTTGCCGCCGCAACTTCCGCCGCCGCTCCTTCTCCGCCTTCACCGCCGCCTCCGCGGCTAAAACTTTCGGCGATTTACCCCAAATTTGGCCTTTACCCCACGTGATGAGGCACGGGTTCGACGCCGGGGTGACCGTCGCGGGGACGTACGCGCTCTTCGCGAGCCGCGCGTCTTTGTACTTTTGCGCCTCGGTGCGCTTCCCGAACGTCGTGCCGCCCGGGTCGAGGTCGTACCGCGACGCCGGCTGCGGGGCGGGGGGGACGGGCGGGTAGGGGAACGGGGTAGGGTGACGGGGTAGGGTTAGGGTTCATGACGGGTCAGGGCTCGCGCGAGGAAGGGCGGGGTGGGGATCGACGCGCGCCGAGCCGCGTCGGGCCGCGCACCGTCCACGCCGGGCGCTTGAAGCATCGATCGACGCGATCCGGCACCGCGGGAGGGAGATGCTCGTCGTGTCCGAGCCTCGTCGGGTTTAACGCCGCGTGCGCGGCGGGTTTCCGTCCCCCGCCCGGCGCGGGGGCGTACTTCCGCATCATCGACTTGTACTGGCGTCTGCGCGTCGCGAGGAAGAGAGAGGGAACGATGACGACGGGTGAGCGGCGAGCGACGCGAGGTCTCGTTGACGCGTTCGTTCATTCATTCGACACGCTTGCGCTTTCACGACACCGCCGGTTGGTTCTCCGACGCGACGACGCGCGGAAGACGCCGCGCGAATCGAATCGAATCGAATCGGAGGAGGAAACGAGGACGCGACGCGACGAACGACGATGAAGACGCACTCGTCGAGCTTCCGCCACGTCGTGTCGCTCGCGATGATCTTCGGCGGCGCGTCGTCGAACGTCGGCGTCGCGTCCTCGTTCTCGTCGCGCTCCGCGAATTGGAATCTCGCGCCTCGCGTGTAGTCCCCGACGACCTTCTCGTCGTTCGTCTTAGTCTCGTCGACGTACCGCGAGTGGTACGCCTCCTCCGCAGCCTTGGCCGCCGCGGGGACGCGGACGACGCGCGGGGGCGGGAGCGACGTCATCGCGCGGGCGGGCACGGCGCGCCGGTCGCGAGTGTGGTCACGAAAGCGCGGCAGCGAGAAAAATTATTGAAGGTAACTTACCCCCTGCGCCTTGAAACCGAATCAGGTCTCGATTTCACCCGTACCTCGGTTTCAACATTCGACCGCGACGCCTTTCAACTGCTCCGATGAACGGATGACCGTGACCTGCCCCGAGGCGTTCGCCGACCTCGCGTTCGAGCGTCGTCCGCGGCTCCGCGCGCGGTGATCGGCACTCCGTTCGGCGCGCGTTCGCGACGCGCGCGAGGTCGGTTCGCGCGCGCGGATCGTCCCACGCTCGACGCCGGCGCCGCGAGCGCGCGCGCGCGGGCTCGATCCCCCCCCGAAGCCGAGGCGTCGCGCGGCGAGCGGAAGCGCCGCGGAGAGGACGCGACGCGAGGAGACGGCTTTTAGTTTTAGGGCGCGCGAACCGAACCGAATCGCGCGCGCCTCGCGTCGCGTCGTCATGATCCGTTTCCTGCTGATGCAAAACCGCCAAGGGAAGACGCGGCTGGCGAAGTACTACGTCCCCCTGGACGACGACGAGAAGCACCAGCTCGAGTACGAGGTGCACCGCCTGGTCGTGAACCGAGATCCGAAGTTCACCAACTTCGTCGAGTTTCGAAATTACAAAATCATCTACCGGCGGTACGCCGGCCTCTTCTTTTCGCTGTGCGTGGACGTCAACGACAACGAGCTCGCGCTCCTGGAAGCGATCCACCTCTTCGTCGAGGTGTTGGACCACTACTTCGGCAGCGTGTGCGAGCTGGACCTGGTGTTTAACTTTCACAAGGCGTACACCGTCATCGACGAGTTCATCCTCGCGGGGGAGATCCAGGCGCGTTCTATACACTGGTCCCCATACGACCGCGTTCGCGTGGTGAACGCCGTTCCTTAAGGACTTTTGCCGTCGTCTCTCTCTGCCCACCCCTCGCTCTCAATCCCCGACCTCGACGCCTTTCAACTCCACCTGACGCCTTTGAACTCCACACCGACGTTCGCTCGTATGGAACGGCCCTTACCAGGAGACGTCCAAGAAGCAGATCATGGAGCGTCTGGAGGAGCTCGAGAAGGTGAAGGACTGACGACCGACGACCGACGACCGACGCGGCGCGGCGGCACTAGAGATTTAATAGCGACCTACGTAGAAACACGACGCCGTTCTTCGCGTTGATCGCCGCCTACGTCGATCAGACTATGAGATGGCTAGCTACCGTAGGTACTTCCGGTAGTACACTACTTCCTACCTGTATACGATTCGACTCGGGCCCCCTCTCTCGGTCTCCCCTCGCGTCCTCCCGCCGCTACCGCGAGCGCATCGACGCCTCGAGCAACACCCCCGCGTTGTACACCGCGTGCGCGGTCGTGGGCGCGACCAGCCCGCCGTTCGTGCGCGCCGACGCCGCTCCGAAGACGCACCCCGCGATGAAGAGCGACGCGAAGTCGTTCGGACTGATGAGGGTGTTTGCCCGCACGAGGCGACGTCGGGGTGGAGTTCAAAGGCGCGTCAGAAGCGGAGTAGTGAGGCGTCGAGGCGCGTCGGGGATCGAAACCGAGGGGTGATGGGCGGAGAGAGACGCCGGGAGAGAAAGTCCTTAAGGATCGGCGTTCACCGCGCGAACGGGGTCGTATGGGGACTGGTGTGATGATAGAACGCGCCTGAAGTGCGCCGACGCGAACAGCGCCGACGTCAGCGACACGCTCAACACCGGCGATCGCACCCGTCGCGCCGTCGCGGGGAGGACGTACCCGCGGAAGAAGAGCTCCTCGAGCGCGGGCGCGACGAGGAGGCTGGAGAGCGCGAGGCACGTCGTCGCGACCGGCGACGACGCGGCGAGAAGCGATAGAAGGCCGTCCGGCGCCGCCGCGGCGTCGCCGCCCGCGCCCGCTCCCGCTCCCGCGGTGCCGTTCGCCGCGACGTCCGCGACCCTTCCCGCGATCGACGCGACGACCCCGAACGCGACGCCGGCGAGGACGTCGCCGCGCGTCGTCGTCCGCAACCCGTCCGCGGCAGCGGCGCCGCCGCCGCGTCGACGTCGATATCGAGTCCACGGCATCGCGTCTCTCCCTCCCTCGACGTCGCGCAACTCCGCGCGCAGCATCGTCGTCGTCGCGAGCGCTTTCGCGGACTCCCCGAGCAACAGCGCGCATCCCAAGTGCGCTGCCGGCAGCGACGACGGCGCGTCGACGCGCTCTATCGCGGCGAGCGACGGCACGGTGAGGTATCCGCACGCGATCCAGATGAACGCGAACCGCGCGAGGATCCACGCGCTCGTGGCGTCGTCGACGTCGAAGTCGAAGTCGACGTCGACGTCGCCGTCGCCGTCGCGCGCGAGGCCGCCGCCGCCGCCGCCGTTCTCCTTCGCGAGGGAACTGGAGCTCGCCGCGGACGTGGACGCGGTGGTGTCGTCGTTGTCGTCGCCGGAGGAGGAAGAGGAGGAGGACGCGCGATGGGCGCGACGAACGTCCCGCGTCTCCGCGAAGCGTCTCGGTCGTCTCCGTCGAGCGCCGCCGCGTGACGCCGTCTTCGCGCGAGACGCCGGCGCCGCGAGTGGACGCGTCGCCGGACGCGACGTCGGCGGCGCGAGCGCGAGCGTCGACCCCATCGCGGGGACGACGCGCGGCGCTGATGAATGACGGAAAAAGTAAACAACGAGCTGACGAGTGGACAGCCACCGCAGTGACCCGCGACGATTCTGTCTAGCGAACCGCGCGCCGTAGTCAAACTATCGTCGTCGTTCGAAAGCCTCGGCTGCAACATTACAAGACGTCTCCTCTCCTCGCCGCGTCTCCTCGCCCGTTCGCGCCCTCCGTTCGCTTCCGCCCCATCCCCCAGAAGAAAGACCACACCCGCCGCGGCCACCGCCGGCGGCGCGTTCTCTCGTCCCGCGAGCGACTCCCGCGATCCTCCTTCCCATCCTCTCCGCCGGCCCGTCGCCGCCCGAACTACGCAACCATCTAATGACATTCAATCACATGATCGAGTTCGCCGCGGACGCGATGCGGGGCCAGAGGTCCGCGCACTCCTTCGCGACCGGCCCGGTGATCGCGGACCCTTTCATCTCCCCCTTCGGGTTGACGATCACACCCGCGTTGTCTTCGAAATAGATGACGAGGCCGTCCTTTCTCCGGAACGGCTTGCGCTGACGCACGACGATCGCGGGGAAAACCTTCTTGCGAAGATCCGGCTTCCCCTTCTTCACCGTCGCCATCACCATGCCGCCCGTGGACGCGCCCGGGATGCGGTTGAGCCTGGAGCCCCAACGCTTGACGGCGATGACGTAGAGGTTCTTCGCGCCGGTGTTGTCGGCGCAGTTCATCACCGCGCCCACCGGGCACGCGATGGACATCTTGTACTTCGTGCCGGAGGCGATACCGCCGGATCCTGGAGGGGGTGGGCGAGGGTGAGGGTTACGGTTAGGGTTTTTAGGGTTTAGGGTTCGTTGAGAGGTTGGAGAGCTTCTTCGCGTCGAGATGGTTTGGTGTCCATCCATCGTCGGTGCGGACGACGACGGAGAAAACCCTAAAAGCGCGCGCGATCGGAAGCGCGCGTTCGCGTCGGCGTGGCGGCCCGAGGGCGTCGTCGCGGGACGCGAACGCGCGCTGCGGACGGCGTGGACGCGCGCGGCGGCGGCGACACCGCGGTCGACGCCGCGCGCGCGAGGGCACGTCGCCGCGCGGAGAGGCTCCGTCGCGCGAAAAAAAGCAATCGCCACCGCGCGGTGGAGAGAGAAAAAACCCGCGTCGAGACGCCGCGCGTCGGGGACGACGAACGACGGCGTTCGCGGCGTCGCGCGAGGACGCGCGACGACGGCGTCGCGAAGAGCATCGCGACGTCGTCGACGTCGTCCCCGCGTCGACGGACGCGCGGCGTCGTCGCCGCGGAGCCCGCGTCCGACGACGCGTCTCCGTCGCGGGCAGGGTTTTTCTCTCATCGCCGGACGCGCGGCGCGTTCGCCGGGGAACCGACGCGACGCGACGACGCGCGCGACGCGCGACGTCGCGACGCGCGCGATGAGGAGGACGGGCGCGAGCGCGACACGCACCGCGCTTGGACATCTCGTGCTAGCTGTGTGGAAACGGCGCGTGCGCTGTCCAGAAAGGGCGAGCGCGCGGATGCGACGCGAGCTTCGCCGACGAGGAAGTCTCGGAGTACGAGTAGGTTTTGAACGTACTATGACTGATTGCGCATACAGTGCGATCCCGCAGCGCCGAGCGCGCGTCGGTCTCGAGTTTAGTTCGTCACGTGCATGTGCATTCGTTCTGACATCGAATGTTTCATTCGACTCTCGTCAGAGTCGGGGGCGCGGGGCCGCCGCGCGAGACGGCCCTCCCCGCCGCGCGTCGTCATGGGTTTATTCGGAAAGAGCAAGAGCAAGAGGGCGCAGGAGCTGAAGAAGTTGTACACGGGATACAAGGTCCGTCGTCGTCGTCGTCGACTCCCGCGCGTCCGCGGTCGTCGCTCGCTCCGCCCCCCGCGGCGCGAAATCCGTCCGTCCGATGACAAACGAACGCGCGCTCGCCCTCCTACCTCCCTCCCTCCCTCCCTCCTCATCGCGATCCGTCCGTCCTCCCTCTCCCGCAGGTCGACCCCAAGGTCGCGGAGCTCGTCGGCCCGAAGGTGTTGAAGGAGCTCCGAGCGAAGTACGTGCTCTTCGACGCGGACGGCACGGGGCTCATGGACTTGGACGAGCTCGGCGACCTCATGCGCGCGACGGGGTTGAATCCGGTGGAAACCAAGGTCAAGCAGCTCATGCAGCGGTACGACCACGACAAGTCCGGGGATTTAAACTTCAGCGAGTTCGTGGACCTGTTCGCGCACGAGCTCTTGGAGGCGGAGAGCGACGAGAGCATGTTCAAGCGCGCGTTTCAGTTCTTCGACGCCGACGGCAGCGGCGACATCGCGCTGAGCGAATTTCGAAAAGTCTTGACGGAGCTCGGCGACCCGCTGTCGAAGCAGGAGCTCGAGAAGTTCTTCGAGCTCGTGGACGCGGACGGGGACGGGCACCTGAGTTATAAAGAGTTTCTCGGGTTTTTGCAGAACGAGCGGCAGAGCAGCGGGGGGCGGTTACCGGGGCCGCCGCGGCCGGCGTTCAACCCCAAGGGCTGATGATTGAACAATTCGCGTGCTCGTATGGGCAATCAGTCGTAGATTAATACGTACTCAAGTGTTGTGAAGGATCGACTTATTGACGGCTTAACCGACGACGCGTCTCGCGACTGTCGTCGGGGTGGCGTTCACGGGCGCGTCGGTTGGCGTCGCCACGCGTCGCGGTCGAACGCTGAAACGCAGTAGACCACCCGCTCTAGCGCGGCGGGTTGTAACGATATCATAGTAGTAACGTATAAACGCGAATGCGCTCGCGCCGTCGGTTCGATGAAACGATCGCGCGTCGTCGATGCCTTCTCCGAGACGGTGACGTCACGACCGAGTCAGATCACTGTCGATGGCACTCGCCGCGCTGCGCCTCTCGACGCGCGCGCGCCACCTCTCCCGCGTCGCGTCGTCGCTCGCGCGCGCGCCGCGGTCGTCGTCCTCGTCCTCGCGCGCGGTCGCCGCCGCCGCGGTCGTCGCGCGTCCGTCGAGCGCGTCGTCGAGCGCGTCGTCGAGCGCGTCGAGGCGCACGTCGTTCTATACACTGGTTCCCATACGACCCCGTTCGCGTGGTGAACGCCGATCCTTAAGGACTTTGCCCGTCGCGGTCCTCGCCGGACGACGCGGGATGAAGACCGACGCCGGGAAGACGGTGAAGAAGGAGAACCTCCCGTCGAAGACGTGCGTGACGTGTGGGCGGCCGTTCACGTGGAGGAAAAAGTGGGAGCGATGCTGGGACGACGTCACGACGTGCTCCAAGTCGTGCAACGCCGCGAGGAAAAGCGACAAGCGCGGCGGCGAGAACAACGACGACGACGACGACGACGACGACGCGAGGAGCGCGTCGTCCGAGCGCAGCGGCGGCGGTCGCGGCGACGCCGACGACGCCAAGGCGAAGCGCAAGGACGCGAAGAAGGCGGCGAAGGCTGCCGCGCGCGCGAAACGCGCGGGGAACCCGCCGGTGGGCGACGACGGAAGCAAGCGATGCGACCGGTGCGAGACGTCGGGACAGGACTTGCTGATCCGGTGCCGAGTAGACGCGAGCGGGAGGTGGAACATGGTGTGCGGGAGGTGTTGGAAACACGTCAGCGGCGGGAAGACGGACGGCGACGCGGAGCATCCGCACTACGCGTACGGCGGGCTGTGGAAGAACAGGAGGGCGGCGAAGAATCCGACGCCGCCGCCGGAGCTCGCGGGAGCGGCGGCGGCGGCGGCGGCGAATGAAAAACTCGAAGAGCGCCCCGCCGCCGCGGTTTAGTAGACGCGAGGAGGTTTCGCCTGTAGCTTTCTTTAACGTGACCTTCACTAGTAGACCGAAGAAACGAATCGAACATCGAACCGAACCGAAACGCGATGCTCTCGCGTGATCAATCGTATCGTGGTTTACTTACACTGTGATCGATGACTAACTCATCGCTACCGCGTCGCGGAGTCGAAATACACCCGGATCCAACTTTCCCGAAAAACAAACGACGACCGATCACGTGTACCCTCCGTTCGTGTTGTCGAGCATCGACACCTTGACGTACTCCGACCCCTCCGCCCCCGGGTCCTGAAACCCGACCCTGTTGCCTTTCCCCTCCGCGAACGCCTTGAGCTGCCCGGACTCCTCGAACGCTCTCAGGTGCGCGTCGAAGTTTTCTCTCGTGATCTCCGTCGTCGTCGTCTTGGGACTCCCGTGAAGCGCCACCTCGTGCGCGCGGCGCGTGTCTCGCTCGTAGTACCTCACGTCGAAGACTCGCTCGGGCTCCGAGTGCGGGATGCGAACCGTCGCGGGTTGGCTCCTGCGTCGACGAGGCGGGAGGGGACGTCAGCGGACGCGACGACGGCGACTTAGGGTTTTTTTTCAGTGATGGACCGACCAAACTTCCGTCCAGTCGCGAAGGGACGGGGGGGGAAGGGACGGAGATCGCGCGGGGAACGCACGCTGGGGCGACGACGCGGTACTCCTCCGCGCCGATGGGGACTTCCTTCCACTCCGCTCCGGACGCCGGGCCGGTGATCTTCCACGGCGCGGCCTTCATGAGCGTGTTCAGGAGACCGCCCTTCTTCGCGGCTTCGCCCTGTGGGATTAAAACGAGGCGAGGAAGGAGGAAGGGGAGCGACGGGTCAGGATGGACGAATCGGTCGCGCGCGAGGAGGACGCCGCGCGCGCGCGCGCGCGCGGCGAACGACGCGGGGAAGAAGCCACGGGGTGGAAGCGAAGCGCGCGCGCACCGCGAGCTTCTTGACGGGACCGCTCATCGTGCGCGCGGCGAGCGAACGAATGGCGAGCGAAGATACGTTCGGAGCTTGAAAGGTTTTGGCGAGCTCGCTGCACTGCGAGTGTTCGATTTATCATACACGTACTGAACGCGAACGCTGAGAAAGTTTTCACCCGCCGCCGCCGCCGCCCCCGTACGGTCCCGCGTATTTCGTCGGAAACTCCGTGACCCCCCGCAACGCCTCCTGCACGATGCTCTTCATCTCCAGCGCGTGAATCGACTGACTACCCGTCGCGGGCGACGCCGTGGACGGCCGCCCGACGTACCGCGCCGTCCGCCCGCCGCCGCCGCCGAGGCTTCCGCCGCCGCCGCCGCCGCCGCCGCCGTCGCCGTCGCCGTCCCTGGACAGAAGATCCCGCACCGCGGTGTTTATGCGCGGCTGCACGAACGGCCACCACCCCATGTTCTTCGGCTCCTCTTGGCACCACACGATCTCCGCGTCGGGGTATTTACCCAGGCGCGACGCGAGCGCGCCGTGAGGGAACGGCGCCAGCTGTTCCACGCGCACGAGCGCGATTTCCTTCTCGAGCCCGCGTCGTTTACGCGCTTGCTGCAGCGCGTAGAACATCTTCCCGGTGCAGACGACGACGCGTCGGACGTCGCGGTCGTCGCGAGTGGAGTGGTTTTCTTTGGTAACGCCATCACTCGAGGCGTTATTCTTCGTGTTGTCTCCGTCGTCGCCGTCGCCGATGACGGCGTGGAATCGCGTCCCCGGGCCGAAATCGCTCAAGCTCGACTGACACGGGCGGTGATGCAGCAAAAACTTGGGCGTGAACACCACCATCGGCTTCAAATGCGACGCGAGCGCTTGCCGGCGAAGCGCGTGAAAGTACTGCGCCGGCGTGGACGCGTTTATCACGATGAAGTTCGTCGCCGCGTCCGCGTGCGACCGCGCGCGACGGCGGACGTACCGGTTCCACCGCTCGCGATCGACTGACTCGGCGTCGTCGCCAAAGAATCGGACGATGTCGTCGTACATGGCGCGCGCGGTCAGCGCCTTGGCCGCGATGGCTTTCTCGCCTCGGATCGTGTCGCCGTGGACGACCGTTCGCGTCGTCGTCTCGGCCGCGGATACGGCGGTGGAAGACGGAGCGTCGTCCGTCGCGGCTTTTTCGTTTTCGGTCTCGTCGTACTCCGCGGCGGCGCGTCGAATCATCCCGCCGTACTCGTCGAAAACCTCGAAGGTATCGTCCGCAGCGCCGGCGCCGGCGCCGTTTCCGGTGGTAACGCCCCCGTTACCGCCGTTACCGCCGTTACCGCCGTACCCTCCTGAGTCGCTCTCTTCCATCGCGTCTTTCGCCTCCCTCTCGAGCCGCTCCACGCGCGCTCGGAGATCGTCGATCGAGATGCGGTCGTTCCCTTTCGCCAGCGCCTCGAACGTCTTGCGCGCGTGCTCGACGTCCTTGGGCGACCGCCCCGGCAGCGTGTCCGCGTCGTCGTTCGCGGCGGCGAGCCATCGCTCCGGGCGCGCGTTGCTGTGGTCTGGACCTTGACCGTCGTACCCGTGCGGAAGCAGAAGCACGAGGCCGCTTCGCTGGCCCCACTTCGCCTCGCCCGTGGTTATGAATTGGTCCACGACGCACTGCGCGTTGTTCGCGAAGTCGCCGAACTGCGCCTCCCACAGCACGAGCGCGGACGGCCCCGCGTCGACGCTGAAGCCGTACTCGAACCCCAGGATCGCGTGCTCGCTCAGAGGCGAGTTCGATACCATGAACGCGTCTTGCGGGCCGAGGCCGAGGTTGTTTAACGGGACGTGCCCTCGCGACGACCGCGCACAGTACAGCACGGAGTGGCGGTGGTTGAACGTCCCTCGCTCGACGTCTTGGCCGCTCAGGCGCACGTGGCAGTGCGGCTTCGGGTCCCCTTTCGTGTCGGTAACGCCTTCAGAAGATCCGTTATTTTCGATCTCGCCCTCGCCGTCGTGCGTTAGCAGCGTCCCGAACGCTAAGAGCTCCGCGGTGCCCCAGTCCACGCCCGTTTGCTCGTCGACCATCGCCTTGCGCTGCGACAGAAGCTTCCGCACGTGAGGGTGCGGCTCGAAGTCGCGCGGGAACAGACTGTTCTTATGATAGCTCTCGTCGTCGTCGTCGTCGGCGGCGGCGGTGACGTCCGCGTTCGCTGCGTTCGCCGCGTCCTTCTTTTCCTTCTTTTCCTTCTTCTTCTTCTTGCCGTCTTCGTCCGGAAGCATCGTGATGGCGCCGCCGACGGCGCGAAGCAACGACAACGGCACGCCGGTCACCCTCGCCCTCGGGTTGACCGGGTCGCTCGTCACCCCGACCGAATCGGCGGCTCGATCGATCGACGACGCCACCGGCCCGGACGGCCCGTCTCGCACGACGACACCGTCCACGCCGCCGCGCGCGATCTCCGCCGCCGCCGCCGCGCTGTGCGACTCCGCGTCGATGACCTCGCCGTTCAGCGCGCTGTCGCGGTGCGACACCGGTCGCTTCCACGACGACACGACCCAATCCTCGGGGCTCTCGACGTGCGCCGCCGCGCCCGCGTGCTCGGCGCGGAATTTCTCATCCGTCTCTCGCCTCCACCGCTCCACCTCCTCCTCCCCGATGTCGCCCGCGGCCACGAGCTTTCTCGCGAAGACGTCCACCACCCTCGGGTGATTCTCGATCGCCTTCGACCGCAGCGGCAGCGTGATGGACGGATCGTCCTGCTCGTTGTGGCCGTACCGGCGGTAGCACACCAAGTTGACGACGACGTCCGCGCGGCACTCCGCCCTGTACGCGACGGCGAGGCGACACGCGCGGACGACAGCCTCGGGATCGTCCCCGTTGACGTGGAATATCGGCGCGCCGTACCCTTTCGCGACGTCCGACGGGTGCGGCGACGACCGCGCGCGACGCGGGACGGTCGTGAAGCCGATCTGGTTGTTCACGACGATGTGCACGGTGCCGCCGGTGGTGTAGTCCGGCAAGTCTTGAAGCTGTCGGTCGCGGGTCAAAGTTCGTTCCTCGGTCAGTCGAAAGGGACCGACGAACGCGATCGAGTGAAGTTTTGTGAAACCGAGCGGTGGGCGGGTGAAAAAAAAAAAAAAAACGTACCTGCATCACCTCTGCGTTGGCGCCGAGGCCGCAAAACGCCGCGTCGCCGTGGATGATGAGGCCCATGACCGCGCCCTGCGCGGTTCGAGAGCGGCCGCCTCTGCGCGCGTCGCGTCTCATCTGTTTCGAGCGGACCATCCCGGTCACGACGGCGTTGACCGCCTCGAGGTGCGAGGGGTTCGGGGCCATGGACAATTCCATCTCTCCGCCGCCGCTGCCGCCGCCGTCGCCGCCGCCGCCGCCGTCCATCGTGTCCGCCGCCGTCAACGCCTCTTCGTCGGGTCTCTCGGGGACGCGCACGACCGTCCGCGTCCCCAAGTGATACCGCACGTCCCCGACGTTGAACGACGACGTCCCTTCGCTGCGCATCTCCGCGCAGATCGCGCCGACGGGCTTTCGAAACACGTTGTTCAAAATATTCAGACGCCCTCGATGCGCCACGCCCATCACGATGCTCTCCACGCCGTGCGTCGCCGCCGCGTCGACGACAGCCTGCAACCCGGGAATCAGCGTCTCCGCGCCCTCCACGCCGAACCGCTTCGCGGACGGGAACGACCGCGCGAGGAGCCGCTCGAGCGCGTCCGCGGAGATGAGCCGCCGCAGCACCTCTCTTCGGTCGCGCGCGCTCACCCAGTGCCCTTTCCCCTCGGTCTCGCCCTCCAGCGTCGCCTGCAGCCACGCTTTCTTCCTCGCGCTCGCGATGTGATGAAACTCCGCGGTCAGCGTCCCGCAGTATATCGTCTGCAGCCGCGTCAGGACTTCGTTCAGCGTCCACCACTGCTTCCGTTGGCCTTTCCCGCGCGGGTCGAGCGACGCGAGCTGAGGGTCGAGGGGTGGAGTCGAAAGGCGTCGTCGGTCGGAGTTGAAAGGCGTCGAGGTGTGTCGGGATTGAAACCGGGGGGTGGGCGGAGAGAAATGATGGGCGAAAGTCCTCGAGGAACGGCGTTCACCACGCGAACGCGGTCGTATGGGGACCAGTGCGAGAAGAACGCACCTCGTTCCCGAAGTAAAACTTTCGATCGGGGTCGACGTCGTGGAGGCCCAAGTACTGCGCCGGCGTGACCCTTCGTCCGCGCAGGAACAGCGTGTCGTTTCGTATTCCGTCCAACAGCGCCGCGATGTCCGCGCCGTCCTCCGGGACGGACGTCTCCATGGCCTCGTAGCCCTCACGGAGCGGCCCGAGCGACCGACCGAGCGGGTCGAGCCTCGCGGCGAAGTGCCCGCGGTTGCGGATGGCGCGCACCACCTGGAGTTGAACGAAGACGGGGCGATCGCGTCGGTCAGTCGAAAGGGGACGCGATCAAGTGTTGAAACCGAGCGGTGGGTGAAAAACGTTCGGTCTCGGGTCATCAGAGAGACCGAACGCGCCTTGAAGATGCGGAGGACGTCCGCGGTGTCGCGCTTGGACGCGAGCGCGACGTCGTCGGGGGTGATGAGCGGCGGCGACGTGTGCGGCGGAGGATGCGGCGGCGGCGGCGACGCCGACGACGACGCCGACGACGACGACGCCGCGGCTGCCGTGCCTCCTTCCGACGCGGAAGACGAGGGCGCCGACGCCTTCTTCGCGGACGACGAATGGACGGCGTCCGCGGCGGGGGACGCTATGGACGTCCGTCCCGTCGGTCGCAGCGCGTCGCGCGCGGCCGTCGTCGTCGCGATCGTCGCCGCCGCGCGCGGCGGCGGCGACGGCGGCGCGCGCCACGGCGTCGACGCGCGTCGGAAGGTGTCGTCCGACGCGTCGCGCTTTCGGCGTCCGCCGCGGAGGCTCTTCTTCTCTCGGACGCGAAAGAATCGGTCGTCGTCGTCCGCGCGCGCGCGCTCGCTCGCCGCGCGCGACGTCGACGCCGCGACGCTCGCTTCCGCGGCGGCGCGACGGCGCGTCGCCGCGAGGCATCTCGCGGCCGCGGACGCGACGTCCGCCCCTCGCCTCATGCCGCCGAGGTCCCTCCCGCGCGCCTCGCGGAATGTTAACACAATCTCGGTTTATCCGGAGAGAGGAAATTCGCTTTTTCTGTTGCCGTCGCGCGGACTGTACCGCGTCGCGCTGACGCCGTCGCGTCAGACCCCACGTCGCGTCGCACTCATCGCGCGGCCGACTCCGGGCTTCCGCGAGCGCCGCGCCGTCTATGTTCTTCTCGTCGATCTTCGCGGGCGCGACGACGCGGAGATCCGACGACGACGACGACGCGACGACGACGACGACGCGCGGAGGAGACGCGACGAATCGCGACGACGAAGATCTGATTCGTCCGGCCGCCGCCCAGACGCCGACGACGTCGTCGTCCCCCGCCGCCGACGACGACGCCGAACCGCCGCGGTGCTACTTCATCGTGCACAACATCGCGAAGAAGCACAACGTCGGGACGATCGCGCGATGCGCGACCGCGTTCGGCGTCCGCGCCGTCGTCCTCGTCGGCGCCAAGGCGTACAACACGTTCGGGTGCAAGGGCGCGTCGAATCACGTCGACTTTCTCCATTACCCGTCGCTCCACGCCGCGCGCGAGGGGCTCACGGCGCCGCCGCATCGCGTGAGGAAGATAATGGGCGTGGAGATCATGGACGACGCGGTCGCGATCGACGAGCGGCCTTTCGAGGGGAGCACCGCGTTCATCATGGGGAACGAGGGCGACGGGCTGACGGATGCGCAAAAGGCGATATGCGACGGCTTCGTGTACATCCGCCAGGTGCGCTACCACGGCGCGAGGCGAGGCGAGGCGAGGCCGCCGACGCTCTCGCTCGTCGTCCGACACGACGCGCGCTTTCTCTCTCTCTCTCTCTTTACATTCCGGCCACACAATGTGCCACGTCACCATACCCGATCTCCTGTCGGACGCGCGCTGACCGATCAAATCAAATCGCGCCCTTCGCGTCGGACGCGAACGACAGCACGGCGTCGGCACCGCGAGTCTCAACGTCTCCGTCGCCGCGTCGATCGTGATGCATCACTTCGCGCTGTGGGCGGCGTACCCCGAGCGCGGACGCGAGGGCGAGAAGTTCGTCGTCGCGGAGCGAAGGCTGAGGACGGCGAAGAGGGGGGTCGTCGGCGACGCGCCGGAGGAAGTTCGCGCGAGGAGAGCCGAGGCGGCGGTGAGACTGCTTCCCATACGTTCCCGTTCGCGTGTTGATCGTCGTTTCTTAAGGCGTTCTTTTCTCTCGCGCGTTATGAGCCTCATCACGTTTATACGTTCTCTTTGACACGTGGGAATGGTATCCACCAATCACATCCCCGACCGCGCGACTGACGCGCGTCTTCCTCCCTCGACCGCTCGCAGGCGGCGGCGGCGGCGGACGACGGGGACGCGCCGACGTTGGAGTGGTGACGCGGCGGCGGGAGGCGAACCGGCGCGGGAGGCGAACCGGCGGTGGCAGCGGCGGCGGCGGAGACGTCGAGGCGCCGCGCGGGGATACGTAGGTAGCAGAGTGTTAGTCAGTCAGTAAGTATATCTTATAGTTCAACGAGCGCGGAACGCGAGCGGGCGGGACCCGAAAACGGCGCGAAGGCTGTGAGAACCGCGCGCTCCGCTCTGCTCGCGTCGTCTCAGTTTTCCTCGCGCTGGTCCCCTCCCTCGCGCTCCGCCCGTCGCGTCGCATACATGCCTCCCGCGGACGTCATCGTCTTCTCCGCGGCGTACGGCAGCGCCGGGGACGTGCTCCCCTGCATCGCGCTCGCCGCGCGCGCGCGTCAGCGCGCGCCGCCCTCCGTCGGCGTCGTCGTCGTCGCGAACCCGCACTTCAAGGCGCGTTCACCCATCGCCCGGTTTCAACGTTTGATCGCTTCCCCTTTCAACTGAGCGGTGAATGCACTCCTTGTAGGACGCGGTCCACGCGGTCCCGGGTCTCGTCTTCGTCGGCGTGGGCGCCGCCGCGGCGTATCGCCATCTCCTCGACCGCCCCGAGGCGCGCGCGTCGACGCTGAAGCTCGTGCGGTGGTGGATGTCGCACCTGGGCGAGCACCACGCCGCGCTCGCCGCGCTCATCGCGGGGAAGCGGCGCGTCGCGCTCGTGTCGCACCCGCTGGTGCGAAGTCGCGGCCTGGTCACGTCCTTCGCCTTCCTTCAGTTCCTTTCGCTGCGGCCTCGACGTTGACGCTCGCGCGCCTCCCACCCTCCCTCCCTCCCACCCACAAAACACCCCCCAGGATCTCGCCGCGCGGTGTTACGAGGACTTCCATCGCGCGCGTCGCAAATCGTCTTGCGGCGCGCGCTTGCGCTGCGCGACGATCGTCCTCTCCCCCGCGCTGCTTCGATGCGACGACGTAACGCACGCGCCGTTCGGCGGCGGCCTCGTCGCGTCGGGGTGCCTTCGCGGTTTAAAGCACAGGATCAACGACGCGATCGTTGACCTCGCGTTCGCGCCGCAGCTGAACGCGCACCGAAAGCGTCTCAACCTGCCGCCGGCGAAGCGCGTGTATCACAAGTTCTTCCTATCGAGCGAGGTCGTCGCGGCGTTTCCGCCGTGGTTCGCGACGCCGAGCGCGCAGTGGCCGGAGGCGGGGGAAACCGTTTTCTTCGACCGTTTTCGTTTTCGTTTTCGCTCTCGTGCTCGTCTCCGCTCGTCTCGGCGCGCTCGTGATGACCGTGGTCGTAACGCTCGATATTTTACCGTTTTTATGATCTGATGTGAACGGCACCTAACGACCAGGGCGTACACCAGGTCGGCTTCCCCACAGACGACGACGGCGACGACGGCGACGACGGCGACGGCGGCGGCGGCGGCGGCGGCGACGGCGAGGCGGCGCTCGGCGAAGAGCTCAAGGCGCGTTCTATACACTGGTCCCCATACGACCGCGTTCGCGTGGTGAACGCCGATCCTTAAGGACTTTGCCCGTCGTTTCTCTCCGCCCACCCCTCGCTTTCAATCCCCGCTCTCGACGCCTTTCAACTTCAACTGACGCCTTTCAACTCCACCCCGACGTTCGCTCGTATGGAACGACCCTAAGGCGTGGCTCGCGTCGGGCGACCGCCCCGTCGCGTTCGCCGTCGGCAGCGGGAACCCCCCGCACGCGCGCGCGTTCTTCCGCGCCGCGCTCGAGTCGCTGAGGAGGACGAGGCGACGCGGGATCTTCCTCACGCGGCACCCGGACGCGCTGCCGCCGGGCGTGCGAACGTTGGACGGCGGCGGCGGCGGCGGCGGCGGCGGCGGCGGCGGCGGTGAGACTGCTTCCCATACGACCCCGTTCACGTGGTGCACGCCGTTCCTTAAGGACTTTTCCCGTCGTCACTCTTCACCCGCGCTTCCCTTTCAACGTTTGACCGGTAAGACGTTCGACTGACCGATCGCTTCACCCACGCAGGCGGCGGCGGCGGCGGCGTCGGCGGGACGGAAGCGGCGAAAGACGACGCGGACGTCTTCTACGCGCTGTACTCCCGCGTGTCGTCGTCGACGAAGAGATCTGCTACTAATATTTCTTCTTCTCCGCCAATAGACGTCGTCCACGTGTCGTTCGCGGACTTTAACGTCCTGCTCCCGAGGTGCGCCGCGTTGGCGCACAACGGAGGCGTCGGCACGTGCGCCGTCGCCGCGAAGACGGCGACGCCGCAGCTCGTCGTTCCCGCGTCGTTCGATCAGCCGGATAACGCTCGACGGTTGAGCGTTTTAGGCGTCGCGGCTATCGTGCCCAACGGCACGTTCATTAAACGGTCGCGCGCGAAGCACGTCGCGAGGGCGCTGGAGAAGGTGCTCGACCCCGCGAGCGGAATCAAACGCCGGTGCGAGGCGTTACGGGAGAAGATACGAAAGGGCGGCGAGGAAGTGAACGGCGGAGGGATGGACGCCGCCGCGGGGCACGTCCTCGCGCTGCTGAGTTAAATTGAGTTGAGTTGAATCGAATCGAATCGAAACCGAAGCGAGCGAGCGATCGATCGATCGACGGACGACGTCGTGTTGTTCGTGTCGTTTGACGTTTCATATTCTACGTTTTTTGTCGCGCGTCGTCGTCCAGTCGCGCGTCAGTCACGACGGGCTGATCGAGAGCGATATGGGGTCGCGCGCGGACGCCCCCGGTCGCGTTCGACCCCCCCCCGAACCCGACGCCCCGGCCCCGGCGGCGGCGGCGGCGCGCTTCGCGAGTCGCGCCGCGAGCGGCGGCGGCGCGTCGTTCTCGTCCACGGGCGGCGTCGACGCCGTCGCGCGCTCGTCGTCGTCGTCGTCGTCGTCGTCGTCGTCCGTGTCGTCCAAATCGTTCCAACGCGTCCCGTTCGCCCACGACGCGACGCGCGCGCGCTCCCTCTCCCTCTCCCTCTCCTCCCGAGCCGCCGCCGCCGCCGCCGCCGCCGCGCCGCCGCCGCCGCCGTCTTCTTCCTGCAACGTCCGCAGCGGCTCGCGCGGCGGCGGCGGCGGCCGCGACGCCTTCGCCTTCGCCGCCCCCGCGGCGACGACGTCGCCCCACGTCAACGCGACGTCGCACGCGGGGCATCGTCCTCGCGGCGGCAGCAGCGTCCGCGGCGCGAAGGCCGCGGCGACTGCCTCGCCGCTCTCCTCGTCATCCGCCGCCTCCTTCGCCGCGAGCTGGAAGAAGCGCGACGCCATGCACGACGGATGCGCGAGGACGCCGCATTCGCCGCAGCCGACGCGGCGGCGTTTGCGTTCGCGTCCGTCGCGGTCGCCGCGGTCGCCGCCGCGTCTCGACGAGAGCGTCTCGCCGCAGATCCCGCATCGTCGCCCGCCCCCTTCGCCACCGCCGCCGCGCGCGAGGCTGAGGCTGAGGCTGAGGCTGACGCTCGCGCTCTCGGACGCGCTCCTCGCCCCCCCGCCGCCTCCGCCCGCTCCCTCGAAAACGTCGTCGTCGTCGTCGCGGAACCGTTCGCCCATCCTCGCCTTCAGCTCCGCCATCGTCCCGCTCTCCATCTTGACGTGCCCCGGCGGTCGCTCGCACGTCTTCTCCGCCATCGCGCGGTGCTCCGGCGAGAGCCAGTGCACGGTCAGCGGCAGGTGCCGCCACGGCGAGAGGTGCAGCATCCCCATCAACAACTTAATCTTGTTCGCGGGCGAGGAGGACCGATCGGAGATCTTCAGCCGCGTCGCCGTCGCGCGCACCTTGGCGCTCGTCCTCGGGTTCTGCCACGCCCACTCGAACTGCAGCGCCTGGACGTCGCTGAGGAACCCGTGCACGACGACGAGCATCTCGCACGGTCGGAGCTTCCTCGTCTTCTTCGCGCCCGCGCTCAGCGCGCCGTTGTGCTGCCGGATCCTTCGCGGCGGGTTCACCGTGAACCCGACGTAGGACCGGCCCTTCATCGCGGGGTTCAGCGACGCGAGGAGGTAGCACCCGAAGAACGACGCGCCTCCTGGGGACGCGCCGGACTCGGGCGCCGTGGACGGCGCCATGGACGACGCGACGCGCGCGCGTCGCGGCGAGTGACGACGGGGTGGGTGCTGGGACTCGAACGCTCTTTCGCTTCAAACTGTCGCTTCAAACTGACGCTTCGCCCGGCGGCAAGTCTCCACAGTGTCGTCTCGAAAAAGAGGAGGACCCGTATACTGTATGCTGAATCCTGTCTATACCAGAAACCAGGGTTTACTCCCCTCTCGATGCAATTTGGCAGCGCTCGGAAAAATTTGGGGCAAGTTGTACAGAATGTTTGCTGCCTGCCACGATTTTAACAACGACGCGGCGCGGCCATTCGCGGACGCGCGAGAGGACGGACCCGCGCCCGCCGCCGTCGCGAGCACGACGCGAGACGCGTCCACGCGATGCCGTCGGCCCTCCTCGCGTCGTCGCCCGCGCCCCCGCGTCTCGCGCCGACCGCGCCGCGTCGCGCGCGCGACGATCGAGCGCGGACGAGTCGGCACGATGCTTCATCATCTTCATCGTCCTCGTCGTCGTCGCTCCGCCGCCGCCGCCGCCGCGTCTCTCCGCGCGGCGGCGGCGGCGGCGTCGCCGTCGCCGCGCTCCCCCCGAACAAAGAGTGGCCGCCGCCGGACGTCTGGGAAGATTTCCTCGACGCGGTGTCGTCCCAACACTGGGACGGACACGCGATCACGCTGCGACCGGGATCGGGCGCGATCGTGCCTCTGCCGTCGAGCGCGCTCCCGGACGCGCACGTCGCGCACGGCGTCGGCGTGAACCAGTGGGTCACGAGGACGTCCACCGCGCCGGAAGAAGAAGCGCGCGAAGGCGAAGGCGAAGGCGCAAGGGGCGCCCTCCCCGACGCGTTCTCGACGACGACGCGGTACCTCTACCCGGAAGCCGGGTGCGATTTCGGCAGAGAAGACGTCGCGCGCGAGCGCGTCGACGCGGGGCTGTGCGGCGGCGGACAGATGGGAAAGATGCTCATCGTCGACGGCGACTACGCGCACGGACCGCTCGTGTTGCCCGCGTGCGAGGTGGGCGCGAAGGTGCGGTTCGAGTTCGCGTTCGCGGCGCGCGCGGCGAACGCGCGAGGAGGCGAGCCGGAGGCGAAGAATCCCGACGGGAGGACGATCCCGCCGCCGCCGACGCGACGCGTGCGCATCGGCGTCACCGTGGAAGCGTCCCCGGGGTCAAAGAGGAACTGGCGCGCGAGCGAGATCGAGCTCGTGCGCGAGTCGAGGCGACGCGGCGGCGGCGAAGACGCGGACGCGGACGCCGACGCGGAACCGGAACCGGAAAAAGGCGAGACGCTCGGAGAGGACGACGTCGCGACCGGGAACTGGCGCGCGGTCTCCGGCGTGACGTTTCTCACCTGCGAGTCTCTGCTCTCGGACGATGACTACGAGGAGGCGTGGCTGGAGGAGCTCGAGAAGAGGAAACGCGCGGAGGAGGAGGCGGAGGCGGCGCGCGGGGCGGCGGCGGCGACGGCGCCGGCGAGGCTCAAGCGCGGCGGCGGCGGCGTCGGGCGAGGCCGAGTGAAGAAAGGCGACGACAAAGGCGGCGGCAAAGGCAAAGGCGACGCGACGACCGCGGCGACGCCGGTCGTCGTCCAGGGCGTCGTCGTCGACGACGACGACGAGGAGGGGAAAGAAACGGCCGCGGGAAAAGCGTTACGACCGCCGCCGGAGGATCTCGTAGTCGTCCCCACGTGGGCCGTCGCCGTCAAGGCGCCGTTCACCAGCGCGCACGAGTACGTGTTGGGGCCCAACTCTCCGCTCACGCTGCTCCCGATGCGCGCGTGGGTGCTCGTCGAGGCGATCGGCGACGAGCTCCTCGTGGAGTGCGGGATATACGCCGGGCGCGGCGGGTTAGGAGAGGACGGCGGGTGGGTTCCCGCGGCGACGGAGGGAGGCGACTCGGAGCCGCGCAGGGCGGCGGCGCGGCGGTACGAGCGGAACGGACGGTTCGCGTCCGCGTTCTTCGTGGAGGAGAGTCGAATGACCGCGGAGGAGCTGGAGAACGAGAAGGAGGACGGCGAGGGGGGGAAGCCGCTGTATTTTTAAGACGGACAGGACTGGACGTCAGATTTTTTTATTCATTCAGTTGAGTTTCTCTCGCGCAGCTGTCGACGCACGCCGACGCATCGCGCGCACTCGTCGTCGCGCGATGTCCTCGCGTCGAGGCAGCGCGCGCGGGTCGCGCCCGTCCTCCGCGCGAGCCCCGACGACGTACGAGCCGTTCTGGACGGACGAAGAGCCCGGCGCGGTGTCCGCGGAGGAGAAGCGCGAGATCGCGCGACGGCGCGCGGCCGCGCGAGCGGTGTACTCCGATCTGAGTCGGAACGGAGGCGTCCTGAGCAAGTCGCTGCGCCCCGCGTCGTCGCGGAGGCCGTCCTCGACGACGCCGACGCGACCGCCGCGGGCGTATCACTCCGCGCGATATCCCACCGCGGCGCCGCCGTCTCCGCCGCCGCCGCCGCCGCGCGCGTCGGCGCGGTCGAGGGCGACGCCGCGAGCGACGAACGATCCGACGCCGCGGCGAGCGTCGTCGTCGTCGCTCAAAAAATCGAAATCGAAATCGAAATCGCGCGACGACGACGACGACGACGCGACGAGCGCGTCGAAAACCGAACCGTCGCCGCCGCCCGTCGCGCGCGCGGCCGCGCACGCCGGAAGTGTCGTCGCCGGCGACGACGCCGCGCTGCAGAGGAAGCTGGAGGAGCTCGTGGGGATGCCCGCGGAAGCGTTCGTCGCGCAGATGGAGCGCTGGGTCGCGGACAGACGCGGCGGCGGCGGCGGCGGCGGCGGCGACGACGACGCCTCGACGACGACGGCGGCGGCGGCGGCGGCGACGAGCGGCGCGTCGACGGCCGCGGCGGCGATGGAGGAGACGCGACGCGTCCTCGCGGAGGCGGCGGCGGCGGACGCGCGACTGAAAGCCGCGGCGGCGGCGACGCCGGGGCCGCCGCGCGCTCGGCCGCGTCCGTACCCGCCGCGATACGACGTCGGTGACGGCGACGACGGCGTCGCCGCGACGACGACGTCTGTCGTCGGCGAGCGCGGCCGCGAGGCGCGCGTAGAGGACGCGGACGACGCGGACGCGGACGCGGACGCGGCGGCGGCGCGGCGTGGCGTGCGCCGAGACGACCGAGACGCCGCGACCGGCGGCGGCGGCGGCGGCGACGACGACGACGACCGGGACGACTTCACCGCGGAGACGAACGAGGCGTGGGCGCTGACGAAAGCGCGGCGGCTGGAGCTCCTCGAGCGGCAGCGCGCGCTGGCGAGCAAACTCGGGGACGCTCGGAGAGCGCAGAGGGAGGACGTCGACGCGCGGCTCGACGCGTTGACGAGCGCGCGACGCGGCGGCGGCGGCGACGACGCGAGCGATAGCGATGACGATGACGATGACGAGGACGACGACGACGACGACGACGACGACGACGACGACGACGACGACGACGACGAGGACGAAGCGGCGATCCGTTCACGCGCCGATGAGATCAGAAAGCTCGAAGACGCGCTCGTTCGTCTGAAGACCCGCCGCGGCGGCGGCGACGACGACGACGACGACGACGACGCGGCGGCGGCGGACGAATCTTCATCTCGCGACCGACTGCTCCCGCCGCGAACGCCCCCCCCCCCCCTGAGCCCCGGCGCGCGCGCGTTCTTCCAGCTCGTCAGCCCCGCGCGCGGGTCGCGGACGACGGAGCGGATCGTAGAGCGGAGCTCCGACGCCGCGACCGCGGACGTCACGATATCGGCGCCGACGTCCTCCGAGACGGCGGATCTCATCGCGGAGATGGAAGAGCGCGTGAAGCGTGCGCACGAGAGTCACCGATCGGCGTCGGCGGCGGCGTCGGCCGCGGCGGCGCGGTCTCCGCCGCCGCGCGCGAACGACGGAGAGACCGCGCGAGGGGTGGGGACCCGACGGGCGCGCGGGTTGAAACTTCTGAACCTCGCCGCCGCGCGCGGGGGCGAAACCGCCGCCGCGGCGTCTTCGGACTCGGACGACGCCGCCGGGCTGAGCCCTCCGAGCGCGGCGAGAAGAAGGCCGGCGCCGGAGCCGGAGCCGGGACGCGCGCCCGAAGCGCGCGTCAACCCGATCGCGAACGCGAACGTCTTCCGGCACCTCGTCGAATTCGACGGGAACGAGACGTCGTTCGGCGGTGGCGGCGGCGGCGGCGACAACGAGTTGGCTCGCGTGTTCGACGACGACGAGACGGGCGGGAAGCTGAAGAACGTGAAAGACTTTGGATCGCTCATGGACTACTGCTTCGACTGAGCGCGTCGCGTCGCGTCGCGGCGGGCGCGCGGCGGCGGACGAGAGAAGAAGAGACGGCGCGCCGCCCGTCGTCCGTCGTTTACGTCTACGCGTACATCGGCGGGCTTCTCGTATTAAAAGTAGATTTATTCTTCGCCGGCCGTCAACCGTCAACCCAACCCAACCCAACCCAACCAAACCATACCAAACCAAACGCACCCCTCCCCCGTCCCTCGCTCTCTTCTTCTTCCCCTTTGAACGCGCCTCATCAGTCGACGACGACCACCTTCAAGACGGCGCAGTCGTCGACGTCGTGCACGCCGACGATGCGGTCGCCGACGTCGCACAGCCCCGCGCTCTTCGCCTGCGCGATGGCGATCTCGAGGTAGTCCTTCGGCGACTCGAGGATCGCGTTCGTCGTGAACGGCACGACGCCTCGGTGCGCCAAGATTCTGCGGCAGACCCCTTCCGGGTCGTTCCCTTTGTGCGCGTGCTCGGGTCGCGGCGGGATCGCGAGGCACGCGATCGGCGCGGCGGGGCGGTACTGCGGGTCGTCGATCGTTGTGTACGCGAAGCGATGTCGGGGTGGCGTTCGGGGGCGCGTCAGTCGGAGTGGTCGTGGTGAGGCGTCGCGGCGGGCGCGGCGGGATAAAAAAAAAAAAAAAAAAACGACGTACGGGACCGGCGCGGGTTATAACGTGACGGGACGCGCCTTCGCGATGAGCGTCGCCGTCCTGCCGCTCTCGGCGAGGCACACGATGAGCTTCGCGCCCACCTTGTGCGCGGATCGCACCGCGGACGACGCGGTCGCCTCCACGGACGGCATCGGGATCGGCTGGTGGTCCATGAGGTTCTTGTACGTCGCGTAGTTGTCCACGTACGCCTCCGCCTCCGCGCAGATGTCCGCCATGACGGCGACGGCCTCGACGGGGTACTGCCCCGCGGCGGTTTCCCCGGAGAGCATGACGCAGTCGGTGCCGTCGAGGACGGCGTTGGCGACGTCCGTCGCCTCCGCGCGCGTCGGACGCGGCGCGCCGGTCATGGACTCGAGCATCTGCGTCGCGGTGACGACGAATTTGCCCGCTTCGTTGCACCGCTTGATCATGCGCTTTTGCGCGAGGAAAATCTGCTCCATGCGAATCTCCATCCCGAGGTCGCCGCGCGCGACCATGACGCCGTCGGATTCCGCGACGATGTCGTTGAAGTTATCGAGACCCTCCATGTTCTCCACCTTGCTGATGATGCGGATCGTCTTCGACGCCTCGGGCCCCAAAACCTCGCGGATGTGCGCGATGTCGCTGCCCTTTCTGACGAAACTCGCGGCGATGAAGTCCACCTGAGGGCCGTTCCATACAAAGCGATGTCGGGGTGGAGTTGAAAGGCGTCAGTTGAAGTTGAAAGGCATCGAGGGCGGGGGTTGAAAGCGAGGGACCCTGGGCGGAGAGAAACGACGGCAAAAGTCCTTAAGGATCGGCGTTCACCACGCCGACGCGGTCGTATGGGAACCAGTGTGAGATAGAACGCGCCTGATTCTTCACGCCCCAGTTGATGATGTCGTTCCTGTCCTTCTCCGTGATCGTCGGCAAGTCCACGTTCACGCCCGGGAGGTTCATGTTCTTCCTCTCCCCGAGCTTCGCGCTGTTCTCGCACTTCACCTGCACCGTCCCCTTCCCGACGTCGCACGAGAGCACCGTGAACGTGATGCTGCCGTCCGCGCACAAGATCTGAGACCCGGGCGCGACGTCTCTCGCGAGCGACGCGTACGACACCGCGATCAGATTCTTGTTCCCTTTGACGTCGTAGTCCGTCGTGAGCGTCACTTCGCTGTCCTTCTCGAGCATCACCGGCTCGCCGTGGTCGAGCATCCCCGTTCGGATCTCCGGCCCTTTCGTGTCGAGGAGAATCCCGCAGCGCGTGCCCAAGTTTTTACACGCGACGCGGACGTTATCGAGCGTCTCCTGGTGGTACTCGTGCGTCCCGTGCGAGAAGTTGAACCGCGCGATGTTCATCCCCGCCTTGAGCATCTTCTCGATGATTTGCACGTCGCGCGAGACCGGACCTAACGTGCAGATGATGTGCGTTTTATTCTTGTTCACGACCGCGCTCGCCGCGATCTTCGCGTGCTCGCGAAGGTCGTGCGACGACAGGTTCTCCAAGATGTGCTTCTCCTGAACCTCGAGCTTCGTGAGGTCGATGTACGACCCGTGATCGGGCATCTTCTTCAGGCCCATGAGGCCGCTTACCATCGCTCGCGGCGTTTCGTTTCGTTTCGTGCGCGTCGAGGCGAGGCGCGTCGAGGCGCGGCGCGTCGGTGTGTGCGGCGCGTGGGAGGACGAGCCACAGTTCGGATACCTTTCGCGATAACAAAAAGTGATGAACCGAGGGCTGTCATTCGCTGACGATTCGTACGAGCAAACACCTAGAGTAGTTTCGGCCGTACACGTACCAGCTCTCGGGGATGATGTGACATGACGTGATGATCGATCTCTCGGACGGTTCGGTAAATCGGGCTCGCGCGGCGCTCCCTCCCTCCCTCCCTCCCTCCTCTTCCTCCCCCGTCGTCGCATCGATAATGGCGCTCGCGCTCGCGTCTTGGACGACGCGCGCGGCGATCCACATCCGCGCCGCGCGCGGTGCGCGTCGCGGCGGCGCGCGGACGCCGCATCGCGCGCGAACGCGAACGACGACGCGCGCGGACGGCGCCGCGCACGTCGGCATCGTCTCGGAAGACCTCGTGGACGGCTCCTCGCTCGTCGCGACGCGACTCGCGCCGGAGCGCGGCGGCGCCTCCTCCGCCTCCTCCTCCTCCACGGCGTCCTCCGCCGCGGCGTCGATCCTGAGCGCGGACGACGTCGACGGCTCCTCCCTCGTCGCGACGCGACTCGCGCCGCAATCGCAATCGCGATCGCGACCGCCGCGCGATCCGTCCAGGCCTCTGCTGTACGTCTCCCCGACGTGCCCGTTCGCGCAGCGCGCGTGGATCGCGCTCCTGGAGAAGGACGTCGAGCACGACATCGTGTTCGAGGACCTGGCGAACAAGTCGGAGGACATGAAGGCTGCGTACGCGCTCGCGGGCGGCGCGGGAGACGCGAAGGTTCCGATCCTCGTGCATCAGGCGCGTTCTAATAAGTCGCACTGGTTCCCATACGACCGCGTCGGCGTGGTGAACGCCGATCCTTAAGGACTTTGCCCGGCGCATCTCTCCGCCCAGGGTCCCTCGCTTTCAATCCCGACATACCGCGTTACCTTTCAACTCCACCTGACGCCTTTCAACTCCACCCCGACATCGCTTTGAACGATGGAACGACCCTCAGGGAAAGACGATGATCGAGTCGGCGCCGGTGGCCAACTACGTCGCCGCCGCGTTCGACGGCGGACACGAGCTCCTCCCCACGACCGCGTCGGAGGAGTACGACGGGACGATGTTCGTGGACGCGTTCGGCGGCGTCGGCCCCGCGTTCTTCAAGTCTTTGCGCGCGACGAACGAGAAGGAGGTGGAAGACGGGTTGCGAGCCGTGCGCGACGCGCTGAAAAAGGCCGAGGCGAGTCGCCGGTCCACGCGTAACGTCTCCTCCCCGAGCGTTTCGTTTCGTTTCTTTCCTTTCATTTCCTTTCAACGCTCGACTGAAGACCGTTATGCTAACTACTACACCTCCGCTCCGCGTCTCTTTCGTCGACGCGTTCGTTCATCAGACGGCGCTCGCGCTTCGATCGAAAGAAAACGCCGACGGCCCGTTCGCGCTCGGTTCTCGGTACAGCGTCTACGACGTCGTCGCCTCCACGATCGCGCCGCGCGTGTCGATCGTGCTGCGGCACTACCGCGGCTTCTCGCTCGGCGCCGAGCTCGAAGCGATGGGGTTGACCAAGGTGAAGGCGTGGGCGGAGGCGTGCGCGGAGCGGCCGAGCATGAGGCGCACGCTGGAGGAGTTGGAGAGGGTGACGGGGAAAGACGTCGCGACGGCGTTCGTGGATCACTTCGATAAGTTCGTGTCGTGGAAGGGGCCGTAGTTGAAAGGCGTCAGTTGGCGTTGAAAGGCGCCGAGGACGGGGATTGAAAGCGAGTGGTGGGCGGAGAGATGCGACGGCGAAAGTCCTTAAGGATCGGCGTTCACCACGCCAACGCGGTTGTATGGGAACCAGTGTCGTGGAAGGGGCCGTAGTCGGATCGATCGGCGCGTCTCGTTATCGTTGTCATTCGTCCTTCGTCCTTCGGTTTATTTACGCCGGCGAGCGACGCCGCGCGAGCTAGGGCTACGTTCTGTTCGCGCGCTCCTACTGATGAGACTGAATCGAATCGATGTGATCGTCCCCGATCTCTCGAATCGAAACCGAGGGATCCGTCCGTCCGTCATCGTCACGACGACGGCTTCGTCTTCTTCTCTTCCTCCTCGAGCCCGTTCTCGCCCACGTCCACGCCGAGCTCTCTCAGCTTCGCCTCCGCGCGCTTCCTCCGCGCCGTCTCCGCCTCGAGCCGCTCCCCGAGCTCGTCGCACCGCATGTAGATCGTGTTCAGCTCCACCTGTCTTCGCTGCTCCTCTTTCCTCTTGTCGAAGCAATCGAGGCAGAGTTCGTGCGCTTTGCACGCGACGGAGTACCCCGGGTACTCGTCCGCGAACTCGAAGTCGAACTCGACGGCGCACCAGCGGCAGTACCCGCTCGCGGGGTACGGCATCGCGGCTGGTCGCGCGCGGCGCGACCGCGGACGCCGGGGCGTCGACCTATTCTTCTGTCTGGTGACGATGACGTCTCCGGTCGCCGCTACCGTGCCCGTACTCGTAGCCCTACTCGTACAGTACTACAGTATGACTAATTGCTCGTACACGTACGTACACATCGTGCGGCGACGAGCGCGCAGGAGACGAGACAGGACGCGGACGTCGCGCACACGTCGACGTCGCGCACACCGCGCGCCATGACCGCGCGTCTCCTCTGCGCGAGGTCCCTCGCGATCGCGTCGCGCATTGCCGCGGCGCCGCTCGCCGCGGCGTCCTCCTCGCGCCCTCGCGTCCTCGCGCCGCCGCCGCCGAGCGCGCTCCGCGCGCGCGCGTCGTCGTCGTCGTCGTCGACGTCGACGTCCACGTCGACGACGACGCCCTCGCGACAGATCCCGCCGTGGGACGCGTCCGCGGCGACGTGGGACGTCCGCGTCCTGTACGACGGCGACTGCCCGCTGTGCGTCCGCGAGGTGAACTTCCTGCGCGCGAAGGACGCCGGGCGCGGCCGGCTCGACCTCGTGGACATCGCGAGCGCGTCGTACGACCCCGCGTCGAACCGCGGGATCGACTTCGAGACGGCGATGTCGACGATACACGGCGTCACGCCCGAGGGCGACGTCATCACGGGCATCGAGGTGTTCAAGCGCGCGTACGAGGCCGTGGGGTTGGGGTACGTGTACGCGTTCACGTCCGTGCCGTGGCTGGCGCGCGCGGCGGACGCGGCGTACGACTTCTGGGCGGGGAAGAGGCTGGCGGTGACCGGCCGAGCGTCGATGGCGGAGGTGAGAGACGCGCGCGAGCGAAGGATGCGCGCGGAGAGGGCGGCGGCGGAGGGAGGGACGGGCGCGGGCGCGTCCGCGTGCGCCGCGGAGAAGAAGAGCGCGAGCGCGAGCGCGAGCGCGGCGGCCGCGAACGACGGGCGGAGGTCGTGATGAGAGGACGGCCCGCGCGCCGTAACGCGTATTCACTCAAAATTGAACTCAATTCGCAACAATACAATATCACGAGCGCCGACGCGACGCGCCTTCGCGACGACTCACTGTAGTTTATCGTTTGGTCGTCGTCGTCGACGACGCGGCCGCGGGCGGCGCGGTCGTCGTCGTCGTCGGCGTCGGCGTCGTCTCCCCCGGGCGGGCGCCCCCGGTCTCCGGATTCGCCTCGTGCACTTGGTCGGCCTCCGTGAGCGTCACGGTTTCGCCCTCCTCTACCGCCGGCGGAGAGGGCGCGGCGGCGGCGTTCGCGGCGGCGGCGTTCGCCGCGGGCGGGCTCGGAACGACGACCGTGACCGTGCGCACGACGGGAGGCGCGGCCGCGACGACAGTTTTTTGCGGCGGCGGCGTCGTCATCGGCGGCGCTGACGCCATCATGTCGTCGATCGCGGCGGCGCCGGATTCCACCGTCCCTGGCGCGGTCGTCGCCGGCGCGGGCGTCTCCGGCGTGGGCGTCCCCGGCGTGGGCGTCGCCGGCGCGGGGGTCTCCGGCGCGGGGGTCTCCGGCGCGGGCGTCTCCTCCGGGGTTTCGCCCGTCGTCGACGCCGCCGCCGCCGTCGTCGTCGTCGCCGCCGTCGCGTCCGCGTCCGCGTCCGCGCCCGCCGCCGCCGCGTCGCCGCCGTCCTCCTTCTTCTCGCCGTCCTCCTCTTCCTTCTTCTTCGGATCTTCCATGGGCGCGACGTACTTGTCGCACTCGTTCGGCCCAACCTTGCTCCAGCACCGCCCGTCCTCCCAAGCGCACGCGCCGTTCGCGAGCGCGCCGCACTGGTCCTCCGTGACGTGCTCGCCCTCGCACATCTTCTCGCACCCCACGACGCCCGGGTACAGGTGGCCGTGCGGGATCGACTGGCCGTCGATCGCAGCCTGGATCGCGTCCACGAGCTTGTCGTGCAGCTCGCGCGACTCGCTCGCGCGTCTGCCGTCGTCTTCGCGCATCGCGGAGAACTCCGACGCGAGAGTTTCAAACCTCTTCGCCGCGGACGCGTCGCCCGACTCGGCGGCGGCGCGCACCGCGTCCGACAGCATCGCCCTCGTCTGCTCGAGGCTCGCGTTTTGCATCACGTGCGTGAGGTTTAACCCCTTGAGCAGGAGTCCGGTCTCGTTCTTGAGGCCGTTCTTGAGCCCGCCGGCGATGGTTTGGAAGTCGGACTTCATCTCCGCGCGCGACGCCGCGACGCCCTCGCGCAGCGCCGTCGTGTGGTTCATCATCTCCTCTTCCATCGCCGCGCGCGACGCCGCGACGCCCTCGCGCAGCGCCGTCGTGTGATTGTCCATCTCCTCTCTCAGCTCGCTCGAGAGGCGATTAATCTCGCTCTTGATCGACGCCGTCCCGTTCGCGACGTCGGAGAACTCGTGGTCGATGTCGTCGAAGCGCGACTTCGCCGTCGCCGCGTTCGCGTCCGTGTCGTTCGCCGCGGCGTCGATCCGACGTCTCAGCGACGCCAACGTGGCGTTTTCCACCGCAGCCTTTTCGTCAAAGTTCTTCCTCATCGTCGCCACGCCGTCGCGGAGCTTCGCGGCGACGTCGTCCGTGGCGTTGACCTCCGCCTCGCGCGCGTCCGCGATGGCGGCCGTCATCGTCTTCGCCGCGGACGCGATCTCGTTCGCCGCCGCTTCCTTCGTCTCGGACATCTTGGCGTTCATCTTCTCGTTCAGCTCGTCGATCTTCGACTTCTCTTTCTCCGCGTCTTTGCTCAGCTCATCGAGGATGTCCGCCTCCGTGTCCTTCGTGGAGTTCGCGATCGACTCGGTTAACTTATCGATCGCCGCGCGCGAGTCTTTCGCGGCTCTGTTCGAGCGATTATCCACCTTTTTGCTGAGCGCGTCGATCTGCGAGGTCTCGTCGTCCTCCTTATCGTCGAGCGCGTCGATCTTCGAGGTCTCCGCGTCTTCCTTGTCGTCGACGGCGGCGATATCAGGTCCGAGATCTGGCGTCGGCGGCGGCGGCGACGGCTTCGGCGGCTTCTTCGGCTTCGGCGGCTTCTTCGGCGACGGCGGCGACGGCGCGTCCGGCGGCGGCGACGGCGTGTCCGGCGTCGGCGGCTTCTTCGGCGACGGCGGCTTCTTCGGCGACGGCGGCGGCGGCGACGGCGCCTCCTCTTCGGAGTCGGCGTCCTCGGACGCCGGCGCGTTCTCTTCGGAGTCGGCGTCCTCGGACGCCGGCGACGGCGGCGGCGACGGCTTCGGCGGCTTCTTCGGCTTCGGCGGCTTCTTCGGCGAGGGCGGCGGCGGCGACGGCGCGTTCTCTTCGGAGTCGGCGTCCTCGGACGCCGGCGGCGGCAATTCGTCGTCGCTCCCGGCGTCGTCGTCCGAGGTGTTCTGCCCGAGCGAGATCCCGCGCGCGCGGCGCGACGCGGCGTCGCCGGGGAAAGCGTTCGTCGGCGCGATCGGCGCGTCGCGTCCGCCCGCGGCGACCGCCGCGGACGCGATCTCCGCGGCTCTGCCGCTCGCGAGCGCGACCGCGACGAGCGCGCCGGTCACGAGCGCGATCGCGGTGGACGCGTTGCACGAGAACCATCCGCCGCCGCCGGCGTTCCCGCGCGACGATCGGCGACCGCGCGCGCCGTCGCCGATGAGGGGGACTCGCTCGCCGTAATGCGGCGATCGCGCGGGAATCAGCACGCCCCGGGGCGCGTGCGAGGATTCGTTCGCGCGGAGGCGTCCCATCGATCGCGCCGTCGCCCGCCTGCCTCTTCAAAAGCGCGTCGTCGTCGTTCTAAAACACGAGCAGCACGATCTCCCGCGCGCGCGGAGTTCGTTCGTCGCGCGGGCGCGGAGGCGACGCGCGAGGGCGGTTCGAATGGAGGACGCGCGCGGTGGCGCCCCACAAACGACCTAAAAAAAATGAAACCTGTAACACCACCGCGAGGGAGGGTCTTCGAACCGCGGCCGCCGTACAGTACGAATACACGCGTATGGGAACTAGTCAAGCGACCTCGGCGGTGTCTATACCCTAAACGACGGTTTACATAGAAAAATAAGGCGACGTGCGCGGACGTGTATGCCTTAGTTTCCCTTAGTTAGATAATTTACCGGTCAGATCACCGCGGCGATCGGTGAAAAACGCGCTTTGAACGCGCGGGTTTCATCGCGACAGGCGGTCTAATCTCCCGATCTCCCTTCCTCGCCCGCATCAAATCTCGCGACCGAGGCGTCCTCCAATCGCGGCCTCGCACGGACAGCTGGCAGCGAGCGAGGAAGACTGAAAAGCGCCGCGGAAAGCGTCGCGGACGCCATTCCCCGCACACGAACACACGTTCACACACACATCAAATCTTCTAAAATGGCCTGCATTGCCTCCTCCTTCACCGGCTCCGTCGCGGCCCTCAAGGCGACCAAGGTCACGGTGCGTGCGCGCGCGCGTCTTCCCCGCGCGGCGACTCCGGTCGCGCTGCGATCGATCGGCGTTTTTAACGAGAGGTTCATCGCGCGTTCGCGACGCGCGCTTCGCGCGTCGCGTCGCGCGACGCGCGCGATTCGCGGCGTATCACGCGCGGAAAAGGATCCGTGGACGCTCCGCGCGATCGTTTCTTCGCGCGCGCATCGCGAATCGCGCGGCGCGCGCCCGGCCTCGGTCGGATCCGGCGCGATGAGATCTCGCGGGGGGTTTCCTCCCTCTCTCTCCAAACGGAAGCGGTCACCGCGAGGGGAAAAAGAAATATCTCACTCCTATACCTCTCTCCTCTCTCTCCTCGCTCCTCGTCCTAAGCAGGCCAAGTCCGTGTCCACCGTCGTCAAGGCGGACATCTACCCGGAGTTCGGCACCTACCCGGGCGGCGGCGAGTCCCCGATCATCCCCTTCGGCTCCGAGAAGAACGCCGAGCGTGAGGTCATCCACGGCCGCTGGGCGATGCTCGGCGTGACCGGCGCGTGGGCGGCGGAGAACGGCACGGGCATCCCCTGGTTCACCGCGGGCACCCTCTGCACCCCGGACGACTGCACCGCCGTCGCGGACAAGTTCCCGGGCGCCGTCGCGCCCCTCGCGCCGGAGGGCTCCGGCTACCCGTCCTTCTGGGCCGTCCTCGCCATCGAGGTCGTCCTCGTCGGCCTCGCCGAGGCGTACCGCACCGGCCTCTCCGACCCGGTCTTCGACGAGCTCACCGTCGGTGACGTCTCCCCGGGTGGCCGCTTCGACCCCCTCGGCCTCGCCGAGTCCGGTGACCTCGAGGAGCTCAAGATCAAGGAGCTCAAGCACTGCCGCCTCTCCATGTTCGCGTGGCTCGGCTGCATCATGCAGGGCCTCGCCACCCAGGAGGGCCCCATCGCCAACTGGCAGGCGCACGTCGCGGACCCGGTCCACGCCAACGTCCTCACGAACGCGGCGTCCGGCTTCGGCTTCTACTAAGCGGCGCGCGCGTCTTTTTTCTCGAATAAATAACGTTCGAGGAGAAGTGTTCGCCCGTGAAGGGAATCATTCTTACGTACGATCGATTGGTGTGGGTTCGCGTCTAGTTGAAACCTCGTTTTAACGAAACCGCGAGCCTCGTGAAAAAAAATCTCTTGAAATAAAGCCTCGCCCGATCCTCTACCCGAACGCGTCTCTCCAGATACACCGCAGGAGGTACCACGCGATCCTGCACTCGACGTACGACGCCGCCTCCCTGACCGGGTACGTCACCGCCCTCCACGGGTACGAAAACATCTTCGTCATCGCTCGGTACGCGCGTCGCCGACGACGCCGCTGACTCGGCATGACGCCGCCGTTTCGCTCGCGCGCCCACGCGAACGCCGCGTCTCGTATCGCGACGTTCGGCGCGACGTGCGCGAGCTCCACCCTGCTCTCCCTATCGAGCGGGTCCGTCGGGTTCGACCTGATCCACCGCTCGATCGCGGCGCGCTCGTACGTCCGCCCGGTCGTGAGCACGATCGCGGGCTGCGACATCATCGCCTGCGTGATGGGGCACACGAGCGCGTCTGGCGCGTCGTCGGCGCAGTCGCGGATAACGCGCGACGGGTAGACGACGGGGTCGGGCCATCGCTCCCTCGCGCGCGCGTGCGCGGCGACGAGCGCTCTCGTCCGCGCCTCGCTCCGGTCGCGCCGCGACTTCTTCTTCTTCTTGTCGTCGTTCAAAAGCCACGTCGTCGCCGTCGCGAGGCTCGCCAACGCGGCCGTCGCCATCGCGCGCGCGGAGGTCGTCGTCAGGCGCGTTCTACACGAGCGAGCGAACGTCGGGGTGGAGTTGAAAGGCGTCAGAAGCGGAGTTGAAAGGCGTCGAGGGCGGGGATTGAAAGCGAGGGACCCTGGGCGGAGAGAGACGACGGCAAAAGTCCTTAAGGATCGGCGTTCACCACGCCGACGCGGTCGTATGGGGACCAGTGTATAATAGAACGCGCCTCAGCGTCGACCACGTCCACGCCCGCGATCCTCCTCCTCCAGATCCTCCTCCCCTCGAGGTCGACGCGTCGTTGCTCTGCGGCGGCAAGGACCCGTCCTTCGATCGCGCGCGCGCGTGCGCTTCCACGAGCTGCCGCACCGCGAGGTTCGGCGCGAGCTCGAGCGCGTCGACGGCGCATCGCGCGTCGGAGGGGTCGCACCCGCGCTCGGCGACGAATTTTTCCACCGCGTCGCGCTGGTACGTCAGACCGGTGGACGCGACGATCGCGGGGGCGGTCATGATGACGCCGCTGAGCGCGCATCGCATATGCGGCGGCGCGTCGGCGGGGTCGAGGTCGTCGTGGAGGACGAGAGGCGGCGGCCAGTGCGCGACGGTCGTCGTCATGGCCGGCCGGCCGCGCGAGGTGGAGTGATGTGCGCGGGCCGCGCCGCGGTCGTTGCGTGTTCCGATGTTTTGACTCTCTTCTGCTCGCTCGTCGCGTTCGCGCGTAAAAATATCGCCACGTGTCGGGTACTTCCAGCAGACGTCAGGACGCGTCCGCCGGCCGGCCGCCGCGGCAATCCGCGTCGCGCGTCCGCCGCCATGGCCATCTCGACGACCGTCGGCTCCGTGCTGGACGTCCCCGAAGCCGAGCTCGCGTCGATGCCGACGCGCGCGCTCAAGTCGCTCGCGATTCGCGCGGGGCTGGAGCCGGAATGGGAAGCGATCGCGAGCGCGCATCGCGCGGACCTCGTGCGCGCGCTCGCGGCGACGCGCCGCGAGCACGTCGCGTTCGTTCGCTCCGTGACCGAACTCGGCGGGCGCGACGTCGCGATCGCGCTGGGCGTCCGAGAGATCGAGGACGACGTCCGAGGGAAGAGCGCGGCCGCGGCGGCGACGCGCGCGTCGATGAAGCGCGCGATGGAGACCGCGGTCGACGCCGCGGTGCACGTCGTCCCGAGCGGCAGCGGCGTGCACATCGGCGGCGGGTGGATCCTCACGTGCGCGCACTGCGTCTGCAGGGACGGCGACGCCACGGACGAGGAGGAGAGCGACGGCGATTTCGGCGGCGACGGCGACGACGGCGTCGTCGTCGTCGACCTGACGACGTCGCCGCCGACGTCGCCGAAAAAGAAGCGGAAGGCGGCCGCGCCGCCTCAAACGCCGCGGCGCGTCGGTCGCGTTAAGGACCTCGTGACCGTGGACGGGACCGTCGTCGCGGGCGAGTGCGTTCACGCGGACGAGGGGAAAGATCTCGCGCTTCTGAAGCTCGTCGCGGCGCCGCCGGCGTCGCTTCGCGCCGCCGGCGTCGCGCCGGCGCCGGCGCCGGCGCCGAAGACGAAGACTCACAGGACGCGCGTCGTCGTCGTCGGGAACCCGCACGACTGGGACCTGGAGCTTCCGTCCGGGGCGGCGCCGAGGAAGATGGGGTACACGCCGTTCTGGGTGAGTAACGGACACGCTTTGGGCGTTTTATCGGCGGAGGCGGCGAGCGAGAAGGGCCTTGGTCGACAGATGCACACCGCGTGGACGTATTGGGGTCACAGCGGCGCGGCGCTGTTTCGAGCGTCGGACGCGCGCGTGGTGGGCGTGCACAACTCCTGGGACGAGGGCAACGACGCGATGCGGCACGCGGTGTGCTTGGAAGATCTCCGCGCGTTCTTAGACGCGACCGGGGTGGAGTACTACGGTCGCGGCGACGACGGGTGACGACGACCGTGTGTGAGTAGACTGAGTAGTACAGTACAGTAGTACGCTATGATCGGTGTATGCGTTGTTAGTCACGACGGATTTCTGCGGTCGGACAGCGAGATAACGAATCTCTTCTGTTGTTACGTAAACTCCGGCGAGGTTTTCGCATTGGCTTCATTCCTCGAGAGCACGCCCCGTCGCCGCCATGGCCTCCATCGCCTCAAACTTCGCCGCGATGGCGCTCCCGAAACGGGCATCGTCGATGTCGTTCCGCGCGAACGCCGCGAGCCGCGCGCGGCTCGCGGCGCCGCGCGTCGCGCCGACGCGCGCGGGGACGTCGAAAAGATCTCGCACGTCGTCGCTGCGCGTCGTCGCGGAGGAGCGCCTGAACATCGTCATGGTCGGCGCGGAGTGTGCGCCGTTTTCGAAGACCGGCGGCCTCGGCGACGTCATGGCATCCCTCCCCAAGGTCCGCGTCCGCCCGCCGCGTGGTTAAAAAAACTCTCCGCGGCGCGTCGCGCGGTCGCCCGGCCATCTTGTCCGCATATAAGATCCTGTCTTTCCCCCGATCTCCCTTTCCCCTCTATCCATCCTTCCTTCGTCTGACGTCGCGCGCCTTCGCGCTCGCCGTCGCTCCCCCGCCGTACATCGATCGACAGGCGCTCGTGGCACGCGGGCATCGCGTCATGGCCGTCATCCCGATGTACTACCACTACGACGAGTGCGGCACCCCGTGCGGCGCGGTCGACCTGAACATCTGCGGCGAGATGCAGCACGTCGATTACTTCCACCACAATCGCGACGGCGTCGATCTCGTCTTCGTCTCCCATCCCGCGTTTTACGAGAACGTGAGCGCCATCTACGGCGGGGGGACGATGGGGGTGACGTGGCGCGGGGCGTTGCTCTCGCAAGCCGCGATCGAGGCGGTGTGGCACGTCCCGTGCGGAGGCTTCCCGTTCGGCACGGACAACTTGGTGCGCGGCCGGAGGCGACCCATCCATCCGTCGTCCATCTTTTTTTTTCTCCCCGCGGTGCCAACTCGGATTGATACCCCCTCCCCGCGCGCGCGCGTCCGCGCCGCCCCTCATCGTACCCCCCGTCCCTCTCCCCTAAACCCCCTGAACCTAAACCCTAAACCCTAAACCCCTCGTCCACGCGCAGATCTACGTCGCGAACGACTGGCACACGGCCATCCTCCCCGTGTACCTCCGCGCCTTCTACCAAGACCATCAGATCCTCGGGTACGCGCGCTCGTGCCTCATCGTGCACAACATCGCGCATCAGGTGCGTTCTCCTATATACACTGCTCCCCATACGACCGCGTCGGCGTGGTGAACGCCGATCCTTAAGGACTTTTCTTCCCGGCGGCGCATCTCTCCGCCCAGGGTCCCTCGCTCACAATCCCGACGCACCTCGACGCCTTTCGACTTCGCTTCTGACGCGCCTCCCGACTCCGCCCCGACGTCATCCCTTCGCGTGGACCCTCCCTCGAAATTCAGGGCCGCACGCACTGCGACGACGTCTGGCGACTGAACCTCCCGGACCACCACACCGGCGCGTTCTACCTCGACGACCCGATGGAAGGCCCCGGGATGAACGTCCTCAAGGCTGGGATCGAGTACGCGACGAAAGTCATCGCGGTGTCGCCCGGATACGCGTGGGAGATCGGCACGGACGAGGGCGGCTGGGGCCTCGCGCCGACGATTCGAAACGACCCGGTGAAAGTCTCGGGCATCGTCAACGGCATCGACTTCAACGAGTGGTCGCCCGAGATGGATCCGTATCTGCAGTCGGACGGATACCAAACCTACGGCACGAACCTCGAGGGGTGGTGGACCGGGAAGCAAGCGTGCAAGGCGGCGCTGCAGCGGCAGCTGGGTCTCGAGGAACGCCACGACGTCCCTCTGCTCGGATTCATCGGGCGCCTGGACGAGCAGAAAGGGATCGACCTCATCCTAAACAGCGAGGAGTTTCTCATGTCTCAGGACGTGCAGATCGTGTTCCTCGGGTCCGGGCGGCAGGACCTTCAGGACCGTCTCCACGAGATGGAGTGTCGGAACCGGCACGCGGTCAGAGCGTGGATCGGATTCAGCAACGAGATGGCGCATCGCATCACCGCGGGGTGCGACATCCTGCTGATGCCGTCTCGGTTTGAACCGTGCGGTCTGAACCAGCTGTACGCGATGCACTACGGTACCGTCCCGGTCGTGCACCACGTCGGCGGGCTAAGAGATACCGTGCGACACTTCGACGGGAACCACGATGCGGGCGGGACGGGGTGGGCGTTCGAGCGCGCGGAGGCGGATAAGTTTCAGTGGTCGCTCGGACAGGCGATTTACACGCTGCGCAACCACAAGGAATCGTTCGCCGCCATCGGCGTGCGAGGGATGCAGCAAGATCTCGGGTGGGACCACGCCGCGTACTTGTACGAGCAGAAGTTTATCGAGGCGAAGTACGCGCACTAGTGGCGAGCGAGCGAGGGGCGGGAGGGCGGGAGGGAGGGAACGGCGGGCGGGGCGACGTTTTGAATTATTATTCGTTTATTTTCCGCACGACGACGACGACGACGACGACGACGACGACGACGACGACGACGCGCGACGACGCGCGATGCGACGCGACCCCTCAACCCGTGTGTACTGTGCTCGCGTCTCTTTGACGAACGGAAAAAAATATTTAGTTTATCCCTGGTGTCCCTCGTTCCCCTCTCGGCGGCGCGGCGCGGCGCGCGCGCCTCACAAAAACTGCTCGTTCTCCCACACCGCCCACCCGTCCCCGGAGGCGCGTAACTTCCACTTCGTGTTCCCGACGTTGGTGTGGTTCGGCGACCAGTCCCCGGGCCCGAGCTTCATGCAGATGGACCGGCGCGACATGTCCACCTCGTCGCACAGCCCGCGCTCGACGTGCTGCCGCGGGCTCCCGATGTGCGCCGCGTAACACCCGTCCTCCGCGCGTTCGATGTGCACCGCCGCGTTGCAATTAATCTCGTTTTCTCTTCGCGTCGCGATGAGCTCTTCGATCATGTCGCGCAGCCCGCCGTCCTTCCAGTGGTCGTAAAACACCGTCGGCGTCCCCGGGTGCGTGAGAATGTACGCGTACCCTTCCTGGAGCTTATCCGTCGGGAACGGCCAGTGTTGAAGCGTGCTTCCGGTGTCGTGGTTCTCCAAAAACGTAACCGCGTGCGTCGGCCACTTGCCGAGGAACCCCGTGGGGTGCCCGTCGTGGTCAATCATGCGCCAGTACTGCTTGTTCCGAACCGCCTCCTGTAATATCCCCTTCGTCGTGAAGTCGAACGCCGCGGTGTTCCCGCCGGTGCTATCGCACCAGTCGTACGTCGACTGCCGGTGCGAGTTTTGGTCGTACTCCAGATCGCCGCCGTTGTAGTTGCACGCGACCCAGTGCTCGCCGACGCTGACGCGCGGCGCGCTGTCGGCGACGTACTCCCCGGTGAAGTTCCCGGCGTAGCCCTTGACGAAGTCGAAACGCCACCCGCCGAACCCGATATCGTCTCGCATCCATCGCAGCCACTCTTTCAGGTCGTTCCGGACCCAGTCTTGCGTGTGGTCGATGTTGGGCGCGGGGCCGTAATTTTCCCCCGTGCCCGCGTGCCCTTGGCCGCCAAACTCCGGGTTGTCCGTCGTCACCGCGCGCTGGTCCCACGCCATCCTCCCGGTGAAGATATTCCACCGCCCGGCGTCGTCTTTCGCCTCCGCGCATCGGTGGTTGATGACGATGTCCGCCACGGGGCAGATCCCGTGGTTCTTCAACTCGGCGATGCACCGCTGGAGGTCGCCTTGCGATCCGTAAAACGAGTTCAAGTCGTACAGATCCGACGGCAGGTACCCCTGGTCGGAGACCGACTTCGTGGGCGGCGGCAGCCACACGGAGCTGAACCCGGCGTCTTTTATCGCGCGCGCCTCGCCCGACAGCATGTTGAACCAGTTCCCAGGCTTGCAGCTCTCCCAGTTGAACCCCTGGAGCATCACCTCGTCGCCCGTTCCCATCGGCGTGACGGGCGCGGGAATCGGCACGTCCAGCGGCGGCGGCGGCGGCGGCAGCGCCTCCGTCTTCTTCTCCTCCTTCTTCTTCTTCTCCTCCTTGCGCTCCTTCAACGCGGGCGGCTCGAACGTCGGCATCTTGATCGCGTCCGGCATCGGCAGCGGCGCCTCGTACGGCCTCGCGATGACAGCCGCGGGGCTCTCGTACGGCCGCGGCGTCGCCGCCGGCGCCGGCGACCAGTCGAACGACGGCGGCGACGCCAGCGCGTCGAGCTCGTCTTCGGTCGTGATGCCGAGCGCTCTGTTACGCATCGCGTCGCGCTCGGCGAGCATGCCTCGCATCGCCGTCATGCGCGACTCCAGCGCCGCCTGCGCCTCCATCCGCGGCGCTTGGAGACGGTCCATCTCCGCGGGGTTCGTCGCGGCGGCGCGTTGGCGTTCGAGCGCGACGAAATGTGCCGCCGCCGCCGCCATCTCCGCGGCGGCGACGCGCAGCTGCGCGCTGAGCACCGAGGCCGGGTCCGCGGGGATGGCAGAGCCGTTCGCGCCGTCCACGCTCTGGGCGCCGTACGGCGTCGGCGTGGAGTAGGTACTCTCCTCGGGCGCCGGCGCGGACGGTGCGTTCCACGAAAAGTCTTGGTCTCGCCGCGGCTCGTGAGACACCGCGGGCGGCGACGAGTCCAGCTGATGGTTCCACGCGTTCGCCGCGGAGGACAGCCCGTCCTCGTCCAGGCTCGCGTCGACGTCGTCGTGGTCGCCGCCGCCGCCGCCGCCCCACGAGGCGTTCCATGATAAATCCTCGCGCGCGGCCCCCGTCGTCGCGGCGTCTTCGTTCGGTGGGGTCCAGTACGTCGTCCCTCCGTTGTCAGTCACCGTCGTGCCGTTCCACGACGCCGCCGCGGCGGATAAGCCGTCCTCGTCCAGGCTCGCGGCGGGGTCGTCGTAGCTGCCGCCGTGCCAGGATAAGTCGGGGTGTTCGTCGCGGTCGCTCGTCGTCGCGGCGCCGCCGCCCCACGATCCGGGATCGTCCCACGACGACGTCGAACGGGTCTGCTGGGGCTCCGGCTCTTGTCCGCGGTACGAAACCTCGAAACCCCCCTCGGTCGCCGCCGCGCCGCCGAAATCGCCGTTATCGTCGTTAAAGAACGAGTACGACGGGATGTCGTCCGACGACACGACGGGGATGCTCGACCTCCCGAGCTCGTGACGCGTGTCGTCGTCGTCGTCGCGTGTGTCGACGACGTGCCACGACTCCGCCATCGCTCTCGCGCCCTCCGCGTCGAAGTAAGTACCCGAAGTGCCCTCCTCCTCGTCTCGCGCGTGCACCGCGTACTCGACGCCTCCGTGCGCGCTCGAGTACGACGCGTCGAGCACCTGGACGTCGTCGACGGACAGCGACCGACGCATGTGCGACGCGAGCCCCTCGAGCTCCTCGTCCGTGAGCCTCGATCCGTTCGCGTTAGAGACGACGTGGAAGATGTCCGGGACGTCCGACGCCTCGTTCTCGGGTCGAATGAACGCCGCCTTGATGTCCAGGTCGTACGTGGACAGCGCGGTGGTCAAGTTCGCGAGCCCGCCGAAGTGGTCGAAGCCGACGCATCGAACGACGGTGACGTCGGAATCGCGCGGATTCTCCACCGCGACCGCGGTGGCGTCGTCGGCGCCGTCCGCGCGCGTCCACGCGTCTTGCTCCGAGAAGACCGCGCGCGGGACGTGCGACGGGTCGTCGCCGTTGTGCGCGCGCGGGGTCGTCGACGACGTCGCGCGTCGCGTCGACGTCTTCCGCGCGGGATGATGGCGGCCCGCGCGACCTCTCGCGCTGTTGTGTTTCGAGCTCGCGAGCGAGCCTCGGGCGCCGCCGCGCGCGCTCGCGTCGCGCCCGGGCGCGCTCGCGATCGCCTGAGGTTCGGGGGAGAGCGCGGGGAAGGACGGGTGAGGACGATCGCGCGAGATCTCGCGGCGGCGGGGGGGGGACGCGAGGACGCGCGCGCGCGCGGTCGCGCGCGAGGAGAGCGCGTCACGGCCGCGACTTCTCGCGCGGGGGACCGCGGAAAGGACCGGGCGCGAAGATTCGAGAGGACGAAAACCCTGGCGCGCGAGACCGCACCTGTCCGCTCGCGCCGCTCATCGCGCCCGCCGCGCTGCTCATGTTCCTTCGTTACCGCGCGGAAGCTTCCTCCGCGCGCGTGATCGTCCACAGTCGCGCCCGCGCGTGACGAATGCCCCCGCCGCCGCGGGACGCCGCAAAAGCGACTAGGTTTAGGATAGACCGCAAGATGCGCTTTTAGCGGTCTATTCCGCGGTTCAAATCGCGCACAAGTGGCAGTGATTGAATTGTTCGTTCCGTGACTGCTCTGCATACAAGTGTATCGCTAGATCCGGGCTCGTGACTGATTTACATACGAAAAAGTACACCTCCGTCGCCCGTTTGCGAGCGATGATTTTTTTTTGACAGGAGGCGCTTTCGGGAAGTCTCTCGGGGGAGTTCATCCCACGACTTCGGCACACTCCCGCGCGCTCTCGACGCGTCGACGCACGCCACACGCTTCCGAGCACCCACTCAAGGTGCGACGCGCGATCGATCGCGCACTCGTTCGACCGTCCGAACCCGCGCGCGGGGTCGCCGCATCGTCGCGTCGCCCCCCCGCGGCGCGTCTCCGCGACGCGCGACGGTCCGCGGCGGGGGGCGTCGTCGCGTTCGTTCCCTTTTCAAACGCCGACGAAGATCTGTCCTCGTCGCGCGGCGTGCGGGAG